ACCATTGTGTGGCGTATGCGATATAACGTCTCTGTCACGGGGTGTTGACACCAAATGGTGGTGTTATTTATCCGTAGCGTCGGTTGGTCTGAGGTGGCATTGGTGTTAATTGTCGGTGTTGATTTTGAACACCGAGTAATTGCACCATTCTTCGGCGTTACACCCCACAGTTATACAGTTAAGTTGTGTTACACCCTACCAAAACGCCTCTCATTGGTGCTTATTTTCGTGTCACCGGCACGCGAGTGTTAATTTATTTTCAGTGTATAGCTTGTCAAATATAATGCGGCACTGAGTGATCAATTCTCATTAATTGCACAGAATCAAGTTCACTCTCATTTTTAGCTATAGCTTCGTGCTTGTGGGTGATTCAGACAGGTGACCACCCACTTCCGCATTAGGTCAGTTCGCCGGAACCAGATTTTTGTTACGAATTCCCCTGTCCTTGCTCAATGCCCATGTTAGCTGTCGGAAATTACTTGTCACACTAACTGCCGTCTTTTATCAGCTGTCACCGTATGAGTCAAACGATTGAAGCTCCGCCATTGGGCTCGCAGGCTGTCTATTCCGAGGGCGATGCGCAGGTGGGGTGCTTACTCATCACCAGCCGGGTCTCGGTGAACGTCACCTGGCCCGCTCTGTGGGCGTCGCCTGGCCCTCTGTGGACGCCGCGGTGACGGTAATGGGCCGAGACGTAACGGGACGCTGCGCTTCCGCTCGAGACGCGTTATTAGATACCAATGGTAACGGACGATATTCAGACATAATGCCTCGAATTGGAGGGATAGTAATCAGAGTTCGAAGCTGTGTTCTAAGTGAAAGCGGCACACAAATTTATAAGAATTAAAAGCTGGGGTCAGAGTAAGAGAGCGAAGAATAGACAACCTTTGTCTGCATTTCAATTTGTGAGTAGACCACAGCGCAGGTTCATTGATTGCATCTGTATAATTTACACAGCCGTTTTTCATTGAAATATGCCAACAATCAGTCGTTCCGATAGCCACTCGCTGCCACATCCACTCGTGGCATGTGAGCCTTTCAGTTGACACCTCGAAGTCACGGGGAAGTGGTACCCGTTTCCTGTCCGAGGCGTCATATCCGCATAGTTCCGCACCTTTCGGCTGCCCGACGCGCGGTGCTGTCAGCCACAAGTGACGTATGGCCGTCAGTGATACCGTGCTGTTCATCAACTGCAGTCACTCTTCAGTGTTTATTCAGGCTGGTGAAATAGGCGCCCCACGGGGACGGTAGGCGGTATAACATTGAACCGACCGGCTCAGGAAAGAATACCGGTGTTCTATCCGCTTTGTTGGACATCACACGAGCCGTCTGGAGCTTACCGTGTGGGCAGTCGGGCTGCGGTGAAGACGGTCCTGGCGCAGCGGTGTGAACTGGAGCGTAGGTGTACTGTGGATCGGGATGTTGCACCATTGCATTGGTAATGCAACCTCCAGGAATGGTGGTGCGGACTTTTCTTCAGCTTCAGCGCGCCTCTGCATCGCATGCGGTCCCTGTATGAAATCACCAATTCAAATTGATGGAGGAAAACATGACTCATTGTCACGATGAAGCGGTTCAAATGAATTGTTGTTCATTGGGAGTGGCAGGGAATTTCACTTCGATAATGGACGACAATATCTATCTCTCCACGTTTGTCGGTATTAATTATTTTCCAGGTCAGTCGTTTCGTGAATCTCCGTATTAAGGCAATCACATGACTGGGCGAGCCTTGGAGCGGCGGAACGACACGATTCGAAATAATAACATCTGTTAGCCATTCATATTTCTGCCAGTATCTCCGTCGCCTTTGACACGATGAGACAGTGTTCATTAAGCTCTGCTGATTTGATGTGCGGCCGGGCCGGGGTCACGCCAGCGCCCCTGTTCCGCCGCTGTGGGGAGTCACAGGCCGTCTCCGAACGGGTCCATCGTGACACACGACCATCCATTGCCGGCGCGGTGAGACCGGTGGACAGTTAGACTATTAGGCCAGTCATCTGGCGTCTGGGGGTAGTGGGTCAGCCGGCAGCGCGGCGCGGCTCTGCCGGAACCGCCGCACACCGGGCGGCGCGGCGGCGGCGGCGCGCTCTGGGAGGGTGGCCGCATGCGGCGCTCATTTGGTAACCGGTGGGCCATTCTGCTGAGAGGCCGAGCAGCCCCGTCGGTCGGCGTCGCCTCATTGCACGGTTGCGGTGTGTCATTTGAGGCGGCTGCGGCCAGACAATGACTATGATGAGCCGTCGGAGCACTAATGTTAGCGCTGGCCGCTGCTCGGGGAAAGAGAATGCTGCCGCGCCGCAGCGCGCAGTCGCCGCCCCGCTGCCGTTCCATGCAGCTACAGCTGAGCGACCAGACATTTGTAACAGGATACGAGCCACGTGATTCTGTCAATGTTGGACTGCATTAGAATCGCGACCATCACGTGGTGTACTGGATGCATACGACATCGGTAGTTTATCGGTAGTCCATTCGAACAGCTGCATGTTGTTATCGATGTAACGAAATGCAGTGACAGCAGGTACTTGTCTGATTGCCTGTGCCTATGCTCTGCGGTGTCTATTCTGTAGTCTCACGGTTAGTTTTTGCTGGCCAAATGGTGCCTAAACTTGTTCCGTGGTCGTATTCTTGTTACGCGGTCTCCAATACTGGCGGTGTGGTTTCTGGTGATTGCTCGGTCTCTGCTGGTTCTGCCCGTCAAATGACAACTTACCCGGCGGAAAACTCGCTGAGAAACTGTTATATACCTCCAGTGAAAGCCTTGGAGTTGAAATCACCGGATGTGCGACCACAATGGATGTGAATATAATTACGATACAAATGGATGGGAGGATGTAGCTATTTTTCAGCAGCGGCCGCCGCCTGTCAGCGGCTCTGCGAGCTGTGGTCCGGTGCTCGAACTGACCGCTGCTGGGCCGACCAGAGAACGAATCGGACCGGCGACCGAGCCCAGCCGAGTGCCGGGTGAAAGGCTCGTCCATCTGACCCGGCCGGCCGGCCTGTAATAATCAAATCAGAGTCGCGGTGGCATCGCCGAGCACCTGGCGCGACGGCAAGCCAAGTCGGATGCTAATTCACCACGATACGGAGCGAGTCGCTTTCCGGCCCTTCTCCCCGTCAGAGTTTCACTAGGATCGGCACGCCATTGTGGCGTTTTGATTGGCTCTGCTTCGGAAAGTTGATAGCCAACTATCTTGATATTCACGCGGCCTGGGACTGCCTCCGTGGCCCCAGAGATGATCCGATGACCGGTGAAGATCCGGTTGATAAGTCGCGACCCGGCACCTCCCCAATCTGGACGGGGTGATGGATCAATCATACACCCCCGGGCCAGTCGTAGCCAATTTGACGGCCTTGTCAGCGACCCGCCGATCGTCTCGTCTTCTCGATCGATGCTCCTTTTATCTGTTCTGGCCCACCTAATTCAGTCGTGAGGCCGGGAGTGATTTGTCGAGCCGTTCGAATAGGGTAAGGGCACTATACGAGACATGGTAAGGACGCGACAAGTTGTCAAATGAGAGGCCATGTCGGTTGCTATTAATCTGGATATAGTTACTTATGCCGCCAATTTGATGAATAGGAGCTGGTGGACGACTGCTAGATTCGTACCGTCCTTTCTTTGTTTAGTGAATGGGCTAAGTGACAGTTTGGCTACCTATCTGCTTTTGCTCTTCTGTGGTATACTACCTTTTTGTTACAGCCGCAAGGGTTAATAACCTTTATTGCTCGCCACTGGACCTCATGGTTCCTTGGAAACTCCCGAGGCCAGAACACAACTCTTTCCGAAAACACAGCTCTCTAAAGAGTCGCTATCGGCCTGCCGGCAACTGCAGACTTGTAAGCTCCCATTTCTCCCGGATGCGTGTGGCACATCGCTGCACCGTGGCTGTTCTCCTTTCTGTGTTCTCCCCCCGCCGGTCAGCGCCTCTCTTCCACTGTGTGACGTCACAGCCGGCTGGTGACGCCGGCGAGCTGGAGGTCGCGGGGTCATGACCCGGCCGCGGCAGACGACCCTGCGACTGGTGACCCAATGACCCAACGGTCACTGCCCGACCTGGACGGGCCGGGGAGAATCAGGGGCCCCAGAGTCGTGGGTGGCTTGGTGCTTTAATCGCCAGCAATAGCATTGCGTTGTGGGAAGGACTGATTGGGAGTGCCGCAATTGTGCAGAAGCTTATTGTTGTAGATTTGGTTCATTAAGTGAATGCGACGATTGTGCCGGTACTTGTCGTCGAGCATAAACCGCAAACAATGGTTTATTGTCCCCATCTGTATGCCTGCCGATCGAATGCACATTGGCGATGGTGTTGTGTGATGTGCCGGCTTTCCTGGACGTGGCTTTACGTCACATGATCGGAACATACATGTAAGCGGGCAGCGGCGGCCAGGTGCAGCGATCGATCGCAAAGAATCGTTTATCATTGCGTGCTGCCAGTTGAAAGTTGCCTCCGACCGGCCGCCATAAAAGTCGCCTTTGTCATGGCGTCGCCCCCTGTCGCACCCCGCTCCCCTTGGCCACTCCCTCGGCAGCCGGAGTCCCTTATAGATGACGTGACGTCATCTCAGACGCCGTGCCGATGCCGTGTGATGGCGGCTCGCCGCTCGTCTCAACAGTCATCGTGTCCGTCTGCAGAGCTGCTTCCGGTGGCGTGATTGTCGGCCGGGCGGCGCTCCGGTTTCTGTTCATACATCTGACCGACAATTGGCGAGCGAGAAGACGATCTTGTGTCCATACATGTCACCGAGAGTGCCGGTAGCACTCAGATTCGATGTGCGATTGCTACATCACCCTTTCTCCTATGACCGTGATGACTAACTCTGTGGATGTCCATGAATGAAAAATGTTGGGGATAGCTCAGCAGTCAGATTATTGTAACATGAAGTTTCCACCACAAAATTCAACTGAACACAGTTTGAACGGGTCTCGAGCTAATGCTGGTTGTATTAAGAGCTGCCTTTGAGTCCCCTTCACGTTCTGACCCACCCCTCTCTGTGACCCGCAGTGGAGCGAGGAGAGCTACACCAACTTCGAGAAGGGCATCAACTGGCGCTCCCACGTCGTCTGCGACGTCGCCTTCACGGACGTCAACAACTGGCTGTGGACGCCGTTCATCGAGCGAGGCGAGGCAGAGCGCATCTACATCGAGCTCAAGTTCTCCATGCGCGACTGTTCGCTCTTCCCGGGCAAGGCGCTCAGTTGTAAAGAGACGTTCAGCTTGTTGTACTACGAGTTCGACGCGGCCACCCGTGAGCCACCGCCCTGGGAACCGGAGAGCTATAAACTGATTGATCGAATCGCCGCCGATCGCGGTCGCTCCTCCACCAGCGATCAGCAGGTGATCAACGTCGAGACGCGCTCCATCCCAGTCACCAAGAAGGGTGTGTACTTCGCCGTGCGCGACCAGGGCGCGTGCATCTCCCTCCTGGCAGTGCGAGTGTTCTACCGCACGTGCGCAGAGGTACGCGCCGGGTTCGCCACGTTCGCGTCAGCGCCCACCGGACGCCAGGAGACTACCATCAAGACGGCACGCGGCACGTGCGTGACCAATGCGGAGCCTGGAGAGCGTGGCCTGCCCCAGTATATCTGCAAAGGCAACGGCGAGTGGGATGTGCTGGACGGACACTGCAACTGCCGGCCCGGATACGAGGCGATAGAAGCCAACCAGACTTGTCATGGTGAGTGCATTCCGTTGGATTGTCTGCGATTCTGAACACAGATGAGTTCGTAAAAGGATTCCATTATGACGCGACATACCTATGTCGTGTTATTTGTCAACTTTACACTGAGTCGTTCTGCTGTTAGCTGTTGACAAAGTGTCAGCACACAGCCTTGCAGCAAAGTAGCCCTGTATTGGCATCATGATTTGACGTAGCCCCTTCAGTCTGGTGTCAGTTGCCACACATGATGCATGTAGTTTCTTTCTATATTTAACTGTTATCGGCCTCGGCTCTGCAAACCAATCATCACGAACGAAGGCTGACAGGGGCGCGCTCACACTTCCAAATACCAGGTATATGACGGCTGTCTGAGGCGTCGTTTTCCATTAGCGCCAAGCCCAATAGCCCTGATAGCGTTCGCGTGCAAGCGATGCCGAGCTTTTGAAGCTGGATCGCAAATGAAAATGAATCGCTCTGTCATCGGGGTGAGTGTTCGGAGCGGGGGCGTTCTGAGCGGTGTATCGTATGTGAAGAATCTGATTGGTCGGCTTCGAGGGTGGTCCCATTCATACGGTGACTTTGGCTCCCCATATATGCCCCGAGTTCTTGAAGGGTGCTTTGTTCTTCGTCTATTTTTTCTGATCCATTTATCGCACTAATGAAGCAGGCCTCTCGAATCGCGAAAAAGTAATTCCCCTGATGTCGGAAAAGAGGAAAATGTCGTTCGTATGGCTATTCTGTTAATTAGATGAGCCTTTGGGCCTGGAAGTCATTCGTGTCAGGCGTCAGCCGTTTCCCCGTAGATGGGCACTCGTAAACGTGCTTCAACGTCTCCGGGCTTCAGACCTTCATTAAATTGCATTAATTGCATTTTATTGCCCATATTTGATACAGTCATTTATATTGGAAACCGGACATTAGGCATTGGTAGGTACAGGTAATTGAGGTACAGGTAGGTGAGGTAATTTGACCTCGCATTCATGCCTTTTTAATTATCCTGGTTCTCCCAGCTTCCTACACAGTGTAACTTACTGCAGTTGATATAAGGGCCCATCATACAGTGTCAGAGCACTGGCGGTCGCAGCCGCTAGCAAAAGGGGGGGCCAAAGTCACACTCGCGGGACATAACATTTATCCGTCACCGGGAGTGGTGGGGGGTGATCGGCTAGTTTTTTTACGTCCACGAGGCGCCGCACAGTTGGCATTACTTATGCTTCATCCATCTCATTCTTGCGTGAAATCTTTGAGCTCAATTTAAGGCAAAATCACCAGTTCCATTTACCGTCTCACGGTGTGCCCACCGGTCGGGCCGCTGCACCGTCCATGACGACGGATCGGTGTAGCATAGGTATACTGGAAGGTCAGGCACGCGGATTCATGACCTTACCACTATAAAACAATTCGGAAAAGTACAGATACATCTTGCTAAAAAGTACAGATACCTCTTGCTTTGAACAAGCATGTGAAACCCAGAGAGCATTTTTAGACTATGACATTTACCCATATAGGTACCTACTTGTGTGGCGGCGGGAGAGAGTAGGTACACCGGCCTCTGGAGACCCCCACAGGTTCCGAGCTTTCAGAATTGGCATCTGAGGGCCGCGCGCGACTCCTGCGGGGCTTCGCAACGGCTCTGTTGGGGCTCACTCAACCTGCCTAGTCCTACTGCTAAAAAGACTGGCCCTGAGCCCTAAGGACTTCATCAGTCTCTGCCAGCCCCAGGACCCACACCGGCTCATGGGGTCCCGACCTCGAAATATGAGGGAATCAGCGCGGGACCATCAGGACGTAAAGCAATCTCGATCAGGACCAACGTAAGGCTGTGCCGGAGACTGCGTGAGCCCTCTGATCTTCAGAAACCCACCCATGTATGTTTTCATGTAGAGGCTAGTTTAGGGTCCTCAGAGACCAGTACAGGGCCTGCAAACTACAAAGGCCAGTAGTTTGAGACCATCAGAGACCGAGTTGGGCTCTCAGAGGCTAATGTGGGTCCTTACTCATTACAGGCCAGCATGGGCCCTCAGAGGTCAGCGTGGGGCCCTAAAAGACCGGCATGAGCCGTCGTTGGACCCCAGAGGCCAGCAGAGGGCCCTCAAAGGCCAAGATGGGCCCTCCTCAGAGGCCAATGCAGACCCTTAGAGGCCGGCATCGGGTCTTCAGCATCCAGTGCGGGACCCTTTTTGGCACCTAAAGGTTCGTCTTGGGACACCAGAGACAGAAATAAGGCCACCAGAGACCGGTGTGAGACCCTGAGACGCCGGTTGGGACCCCTGAGGCCGGTTAGGGGCCCTCATAGGCCAGATGTGGGGCCTCAGAGGTTGATGTAGGCTCTTAGCGGTCAACGTGGGCGCTTGACCGCCACTGAAGTTCCCTCAGAGGTCAGTGTAGGACGTTCAAAGACCGGTGTGGGAGCTGGACGTGGGTTTTTTTAGCCTCGTGACGATCGAATAATTGTCAGGGCCCCATACACCTATATGGGGGCCCATTGGTTGTTTGAGGGGGGCAAATGATATGATGGCCCCCTTTATTGACCTTTGGGGGCATTGCCCTGATGCCCCCCCCCCCCCGGCCCCCCGCGACCGCCACTGTGTACACATTACACACATGCCTCTGAGATTACATACTAGCTCATGCAAACTCTATGCAGGCCCCGTAGGTCCCACGCTAAACCAAGCCGGCATACGGCGTCACCACCGGGCTTCTGAGGTGCACAGCACCAACCCATGAGGTCTTACTTTAGTGTCTTGGAGCCAATCTCCTTTAGCAGGGCCCACCCGCCACTGCCGAAGAGGGTCTCATGCCAGCCATTGCTGAATGCTGGGCCTACGAGAGCCTCAAGTAAACCCACGCTGATATTCCATATAAGATCCGGCCATACTCGTGAACCGGTGCCAGCGACGCTGACTGCCAAATTGACAGAATGCGAAACTGAGCCCACTTATGAGTGAAATTTACGTCCTTTGATGGCCCAAGAAAGAAAATGAAACATACGAAAAGCTTTTCTAGGACTTTTGTTTGATCTGAAAGGTGGGGCCAAAAGATAGTATGGCCCCACCTTTCAGCACCAAAGGGGGGGGCCATGGCCCCCGTGGCCCCCCCCCCCCTGCGACCGCCAGTGTGTCAGAGTGTCATATATCACCATGCATCTTACCACTGACATCATAAGGCGCTAACGAATGAGTCCAGTGGTCGGGCAATAAGCGTGTTATGTCGTGGCACTGATGACCTGAAAGGATCGCGGGGATCTGTCAAATAGCTCATTTCGGGTGTAATGTGCTCATCGGGAGCGGTCGGTATAAATGCTGGAAATCCCGCTCAAAGAACATGGAACAATACAGGACAATGGACCTTGTAAGTTGTAATAGGTACATAGAGCCAAACGCTGGAAAGCCCGCAGAGGAGGCGGGGACAATGAACCTCACCAGTGACTTTGAAAGTCAGCCAAATGATGGAAAGTACGGTGAAGGGACGATAGGGGACGACAAAGGGACGATAAAGCTTATACTCTGTTCGGAGCAACCCCCTTCTCACAAAAATACTTGTCTGTTATTTCTCCTCTCACGTTTAAGTACACACTGTTTATTTTTGTTTGGTTATAATTATAACAGCGTGTGTCCAGTTCGAACGGGCTGCAGGGTTGGAGGAACGGAGGATATCACCAAAGCGCACGGTGCCGCGTGCCGTTCCGATCGTTAATGTAAATGAGGCCGCTATCGCCGCGGCGCTGGTCCCTATATATAAGGTGATTTCGCCTCACGCTGTAAGTGCCGGAGCGGATCGGATGGAGAGCAGGACCAAATTAAATCGGAGCCGTGTTTTGATGGGGAGATGGGTGTTGGATCAGGCCGCGAAGACGTAATACCCTCGATCGATTAGGCGCGCATGCATTTATTAGCACACATTTTAAAAATGTATTTCATGGGACTTTAATATGCTGCCTGGATTATTGCATTATTGTCGAAATTATGAGTAAAAAGGCAAATATGATAGAAAAGTACAGGCATTAAAAACTCAAAACCCATTGGCTTTGACTGCGAATATCCCAGCAGAGGTACTTTGGAACTGAAGTTCAAAGTGCGTATTGCTGTGACGCCCGCCGGCATCCACAGCACTCCACCGTAAAATGTTCTGCAGCCAGAGGCGCCGCGCCGGAATGATGCAGCGCCTAATCCACCGGAGCTGAGCCGACTGTCGTTTTTGCAGCCGATATTAATGCATTATCTTTATCGGCTGTGACCATTAGCCGTCGGTTTGGCACGTGTATGGTGCCGCTCGGGAGCAGCGGCGTATTTAGAAAATCGCGAAGGGGGGGGGGCCAAGGGTTTGGAGGGCGCCACCTCACCCAAGGAGGGCGCCATACGGTCGCGAGATAAAAAATCGCTCAGCGGGGTGGGGGGGGGGGTTAGGAGGCGTTTTTTACCATGCCACCAGTTTTTTTTTTGCGTAACCTCGTATAGGTCGTGCTGCATTGATTTTGCATCGTGTGTATTCTTTATGCTCCAGGTCACAAAAGGTCAAGTGTTCTTGAAATGCTGCGCCGAAGGCGCGCGAAATTTTTGAAAACAACCTTTTCCTCCGCTTTTTAGGCACGCCTTTTATACGATCACCGTTCAAAGCTCCTCTCGCTCTTTTACCAAATTTGAAGGTGTAAAAAATACCTAAGGTTTGGTCGGGCCGCTGCCACACAAACTGTATAGAAAGCTTGGCTCATGGGTGTCGATGTATAAAAGTTTATTGGCGGTGGCATATCTACGCACCAGATCACCGTATCGGATTGATACCGGAGCGCGAGATGCGTAAACATCATCCAAATTACCTCAGACCAGCCTTCATAGCCTTCTCACAGATGCATACAGTGTACCCACATAACCAGTTTCAATCACCGAACTTTCAGATGCCTGCTGTTGCGGCCGAACCTGTTGACAATACTTAATCGTAATCCATATAGATGCCATGATGCACGTAAAGTAGGATCAATCCGTTAAGACCAAAGACGTGTTTTATGCATCGTAGAGCGTAGATAGTTTTGGTAGGTATATCAGCACCACGTTCATTTGTGGCAGTTTTCACAGGCAAGACATCAACTATGTGCAATAGAACGACTAAGTTGAAAAACATGCCAAAGGAGTAAATAAATGATAAGAGGGCAGCGATCAACGGATGTTGCCAATAGGTAGAAGGGCTGCGATCCACAGGAGGGCGCTAATAGGTAGGAGAGCCCCGATCAACATCCCGAGTTTCGATAGTAGGGCACCGATAGGTAGGAAGTTGGCGAGCAGCAGGAGGGCGCCAATGGATAGAAGGGCAGCGATCAACAGGAGGGCACCAATAGGTAGGAGGGCCCCGATCAACAATCAACAGGAGGGCGCCACCAGGTAAGAGGGTGGCGAGGAACAGGAGAGCACCAATAGGAGGGTGGCGATCAACAAGAGGTCGCCAATAGGTGGGAGGGCGGTCATCAACTGGAAGTCGTTAATGAGCGGAAGGGTGACGATTAAAATGGGGGTGGCAATGGTGAGGAGGGCGCCTTTGCTCAAGAGGATGACACGAACAGGAGGGCGTCTGTGCGGAGGGCGCTGGTCAACAGGCAGGTACCAGTGGATAGGAGGGCGGTGATCAACAGGAGGGTGCCAGTGGTTAGGAGGGCGGCGATCAAAACGAGGGCGCCAATAAGAGAAGGGCCCCGATTAACATTCAACAGGAAGGACTAGGGAACCAATAGGTAGGAGGGCGGCACTGAACAATAGGGTGCCAAAAAGGAGAAAGGCGGCCTTGAAAATTTCACATGAGGGGGCAATAGGTAGGAGAGCGCCAATAATTATGAGGACGCCGATCAGCAGAAGGGCGGCAATATGTAGCAGGGTGGCGACCTACAGGAGGGCGCCTTCGGGTGAGAGGGCGCTTATTTACGGGACAGCGGCTTACATAGGCGACCACCGTTACGCTTAGAGAGCTACAGCCTACAAATGTGGTTGGAGGGCGCCCGAGGGAGCCCTCCAACCGTATTTGGAGGGCGTATTTGGAATGGGCGTCCTCCGAGGGCGCCCTCCATCCGTATTTTCCCTGTAAACACATTCGCGATTGGAGGGCGCCCTCCAGTCGCGATTGTTTTTCGATTCGATTATATCACAATTGCATTTGCGATTGGAGGGCGCCTTCGGCGCCCTCCAATCGCAAAGGGCACCTTCGGCGCCCAAGGGGGGGCCATGGCCCAGTGCCCCCCCCCCCCTGCCTACGCCCCTGCTCGGGAGGACCGAGACCGGGCTCGGGTGGGCACTGAGCGGCAGTAAATCGGCCGATGTCAGCCCGCTGCGGCTGAGGACGGCAGGGCGGGTCCGCGCGGCGTGCAGGAGCGATCAGGAGGGACCAGAGCTGGGCGTCAGCCGTGGAATCAGAGCTGAGAGACAGCCGTGGGATCAGCAGGGATCAGAACTGGGCGTCAGCCATGGGATCAGCAGGGGCCAGAGCTGGGCGTCAGCCGTGGAATCAGAGCTGAGAGACAGCCATGGGATCAGCAGCGATCAGAGCTGAGAGACAGCCATGGGATCAGCAGGGATCAGAACTGGAATCAGCCATGGGATCAAAGCTGAACAGAGCGTAGGACGGGCTCAGAGCTCAGAGATTGGCTGGATGTCGGTTGCGCCTTGTTTGACGGTTAGCAGTCCATTGAATAACTGCGCCAGAAGGGCGCTCGTCTGAGAGCAGCGGCATGGAACGTTGATATTGGGCACGACCGATAGTGTCGGGAAGCTCCGGATTCTCATATCGCGCCACATGGCCAGGAGCTCTCATTCCACAGCTGATGTAATTTAAAAGCTTGAGACTGAACTTACATTTTGCACACAGTCAACATGACCGCAGGCAGCAAGTGCTCATCTATAAAACACACTATTCGTTGTATCATTTTTTGATTTTACATCATACCCAACCGAATGGGCGCCGCCTCCCCCGATTTCCGCAGTCTCTCTCTCTCTCTCTCTCTCTCTCTCTCTCTCTCTCTCTCTCTCTCTCTCTCTCTCTCTCTCTCTCTCTCTCTCTCTCTCTCTCTCTCTCTCTCTCTCTCTCTCTCTCTCTCTCTCTCTCTCTCTCTCTCTCTCTCTCTCTCTCTCTCTCTCTCTCTCTCTCTCTCTCTCTCTCTCTCTCTCTCTCTCTCTCTCTCTCTCTCTCTCTCTCTCTCTCTCTCTCTCTCTCTCTCTCTCTCTCTCTCTCTCTCTCTCTCTCTCTCTCTCTCTCTCTCTCTCTCTCTCTCTCTCTCTCTCTCTCTCTCTCTCTCTCTCTCTCTCTCTCTCTCTCTCTCTCTCTCTCTCTCTCTCTCTCTCTCTCTCTCTCTCTCTCTCTCTCTCTCTCTCTCTCTCTCTCTCTCTCTCTCTCTCTCTCTCTCTCTCTCTCTCTCTCTCTCTCTCTCTCTCTCTCTCTCTCTCTCTCTCTCTCTCTCTCTCTCTCTCTCTCTCTCTCTCTCTCTCTCTCTCTCTCTCTCTCTCTCTCTCTCTCTCTCTCTCTCTCTCTCTCTCTCTCTCTCTCTCTCTCTCTCTCTCTCTCTCTCTCTCTCTCTCTCTCTCTCTCTCTCTCTCTCTCTCTCTCTCTCTCTCTCTCTTCCGCCGGTCCTCTCCACCCCACACAATCGGAGACCGTCTCTGCCCCGTGCCTCTCCGCCGCGGCCGACCGGTCCTTTTTAGACGACCCGTGCCGGCTCTTCCCCTAATTGGCCGCGAGGCCCATCCGACGATTTATCCGAGGAAAAAATACGGCGATGCTGCGGCCGGAAGAATAGACTGGTGGCTAGAGCAGTCAGATGAAAGGTGGAGGAGCGGTGGAGAGGAGGAATATCATGCTCGCAGACCGGACGTGAGCGGGTTTTTTTCTTTGATGCGCCGGCCCGCGGGCGCCTCTTGCACACGTGCCGCGCCGTCGAGTGGCTCGCATGGAGGCGGTCTGGCCCGTATTGGACACTGCAGGAACAATGGTCGCAGTCGGTGGGCCGAGATATATCAGACGACCCACGGCAGCTTTAGTTGTCCGACTCGGTATTTGGCTGCACGGAATGTGTTGGGCCCATGTCAGATCCGGTACTTCCACAGCCCACAGGGAAATCCTCTTTTATTCCGTGGCTGTGAGCGCAGCTTAGACATCCCATTTAGGAACTGGGTTATCATTTAATTGTTTCCTGGCTATCGCTGAAAAATGCTGCCTAAGTACGGCTGAATTCAGACATTAAGATGTGCCATTTGTTGTTAACACTTCTATTCTTGACAGCACGATATCGCCTATATATTTTCCCGCCTATTGTTTATCGATATCAGTTTGCTGGACAACGTGTAGCAGGTCGTTTCGTGCAAAAGTCGGGCTGCTTTTTACCGCTACTGATGTGCCGATTGCATTGTGTCACACGCGGATTACAGCTGCGGCTACACATGGCGCTGGCCGCCCGGCGGCGTTTTATTGCCACATAGCTGCCGGGCTTATCGCCAATAGCCCGCGATCGCCGCGTTAGCGAACGCTTATCGCGGTGGCCGACAGCGTTTCAGCCGGCTGTTTGGGGCCGATTTCGGCTCAATCAGCTGTTCCCGTGACGTCTGTTACCGCCCTCACCGGCGCCGGTGTGTTGGGCGTTCTGGAAATGTGTGTAGCTGTGGTGGAAAAATGTGAAACGGAAAAGTGAGCGGTCGGATTCCTATCACGTGGCGCTTGCGGAGAAGATCGCCGAAAAGGTTTACGCAAAATAAATCGTTAAAGAAGTCGGCTGATGTCAAGATTACGACATTGTGTTATTGAACTGGGAATTATGCGAGTGCCACCAACGATGACATTTGTTGCAAAAAAGTCTTATTTTGCTTTGGGTGCGGGGACTTCACCAGACTGGTATTGAGTAGCGCATTAGACATTTTTTGGCGCCCTTGTATGTTTGGCCCGATTCCTGCATTTTGTTTGCGTGCGATGCTCACGACATTATCAACTGAATGGAGCTTTGCATGCCGTTTGCGACTGTCATGTCCTGTCGTGTCGTGAGCTCGCTACGTGAGCCGGTGTGTCAGACAGTCTGTGTTCTCGTGTGTTCACATCCGATCCGGCAATGTCATCCCATGGCGAATTGTTGTGACCGCCATACCACATGAGGTGGCCGGAAGACAGATCTGACTCTGAGTCAGCAAATGTCAACGGCTCACTGCAATTCGCGCATTAACTGATGCATGCAAAATAATTACCAACGATAGTTTATCTAGCCCTTTACTTCCAAGGTCTCGCCTTTTATTAGACCGAAGTGAACAATCATATCATTACACAATGCGTAGCTTGACTGTTATTTAGCATTGACCCCTGAAGTGACCTGCGACCTATTGTCCCCTGCTGACCTCTGATACCCCTTACCCCTGTCCATGCCTGCAGTGTGCCCGCCGGCCACCTACAAGTCGGTCTCTGGTGTGGGCGCGTGCCTGGCCTGTCCGGACCACAGCCGAGCGGAACGCTCCGGGTCTGACCTCTGTGCCTGCGAGCCGGGCTACTGGAGAGCAGAGACCGATCCGCCAGGATCAGCCTGTACACGTGAGTAAAGATAATACCGCTCGTCCAGTGTGTCTGCGTGAACTTAGGGACCTGCATACCCGTGAACCATATGCTAATGCTCCTCAAGGCGTACCATTGTGAGTTCCCGAGCCCCCGGCTCCCGGTACTGGTCAAGAGCAGAGCTTAAAGACGTCCAGCCGTAATGCACGCATGCGTAACTCAGCTTCCCACCGAGCTTCTAAACAAACTGCACGTGAATTATGGATATGATGCTGATTACCTGCCTCCCAGCTGGCCTTGTGTAATCTAACTCGGTTGTGGCGCATGCTTATGCATGAGTTCACTAATTTTTCCTCCCCTGCAGTCGACGTTAGCGGAGCGAGGGGTGCGTCATTTCCTCAGCAGTTGTGGCTGATTTTGCATAAAATATCCGTTTTATCCTTCAAAACGCATAAAACCACACTTGCTCTGCCTTGCTAATCTCTTTCCTTCCGCTTTAGGCACAAAATTAACCGCCGCCTCATGACCCTGGCCGTCGATTCGTGGGCCGGCTGGCGGCCGTTCCCAGCTGTGGACGGCAGCCGGTTCCCAGCGCCGTCGTACGGGAGCCGACTGCACGCTCCGCCGGCCCTGCGGAACACGACGGCCCCGCACCGCGCCGATCGCACGCCGCTCGCACGCGCAATCACATGCGCGTCACTCACGCACTCCGTCACTCACGCACTCTCGTCACTCACGCACTCACGCTCCATGCCGATGGCATTGATTTGGGTTCAATGGACGACAGATAGCAGCCGGTACGGTGGGCCGGTCGTGCTGCCGGCTAAAGCGAATGGCCGCCCTGCGGCATGCTTATCCGCGTTTACAGGAAAGTAGCCGTGCATGCATGGGTTTGAATGTGACCGCGCGTGAATTACCTCCTTTGGCAGGTGTCTTTTATAACAGTGAGCGACTCGGCAGTTACTGTGGGATTGCAATCTCGGCTCTGCTGACGCTAGTGGGTAGACGGGTTTATCCGATCCTTCCGACTCGGTTAACTCTGAAGTGAACCTACTGTGATCGGCTCTGTAATGTCAGACTTAAAATAGCTGGCTGTGCGATCAATGGAAGGAATTGTAAACCGGTGCCGATTACACGGACGTTCACAACCGCGTTTGTAGTGAAGGCTGTTGTTTTTAGTTATGTAAACGGCTTGAAGTTCACTGAAGTGAAAACTGAGCGTGACGATGGAGGAGTAGTGATGCATGAAATCTATAACACAAAATGGACGAACTACATTGGGCCACCGTGTGACTTACAATCCTTTTCGCATGACGCACGTCACACGTGTTTGAACTATGAGTCTGCGTTGACTTGAGCTGACCTCACATGACCTGCCGCTACCTCAGGTCCGTCACCGGCACCTCGTGGTCTGACCTGTCGTGACCACAGCTTTGCTACAGGTACCTTGTGACCTGACCTGACCTAACTGGACCTGACCTGTCGTGGCCCTAAGTCTTCCACCGTCACACTATGACCTGACTGTGACCTGACCTGTGACCTGACCTGTGGCCTGACCTGTGACCTGACCTGTGACCTGACCTGTGACCTGACCTGTGACCTGACCTGCCCTGACCTGTCGTGCCCCCAGGCCCTCCGTCGGCGCCGCAGCAGCTCCGTGCCGAGTTTGTGGACCAGAACTCGGCGGTGCTGGTGTGGAGCGCGCCAGAGCTAAACGGCGGCCGGCCCGGGGACACCAGCTACAGCGTGAAGTGCCGCCAGTGTGGAGCCGACGTCACCTTCAGCCCCGCGCAGGTGGGTACCTACCGGAGACACCCTACGAGGTGAGGTAGGAAGCTAGACTGACAGCTGCCAATGGGCTTAGTAATCGTTCTGGGATTATTAATCCATCCAATGCTGTTGTTGTTGTGTTGTCCCTCCAGGCTCTGGTGAGCTGTAGCCTAACGGCTCTGGAGGTACCTGGCGACCCTCGCCAGGGCCGCCACCGCGTCGTCCCGTCGCACGTCGCTCAGGCTCGGGAAGATGGTGCCGAAGATGCGGAGCCGGGCGTTCATCAGCGCCGGGCACCGCAGAAGGACATGGTCCGGGGTGTCGGCCTCTTCGCCGCAGGCGCGGCACCATCCTGCCCGGCATCCCCGATCACTGCACTGGGCGCACTCCGGCGATGGGTGCCGCCCGATTCTGTGCAGGTACTGGGCTGACCCGGACCAGTGTCCTGCTCGTAGTTGGTGAGTCTCCACTGCGTCCAGCCTGTTGGGTCCACGAACCGGCGGCGGGGGACGCCCCTCCATCAGCGTGCGGTACCAGCCAGGAGGCCACTGGTTGGTGGTACGGGCACGCGCGAGTCTCGCCGCAGCTCGGTAGACCGTGGTCACGTCAACAGGGACGTCTTCTTGGGGGAGAGTTGAGGCATCTTTGGCGAGTTGGTCCGCGCGCTCATTCCCCGGGATTCCGCAGTGGGACGGTATCCACTGTAGGAGGACCCGGCGACCGCTCGACGACAGCTCCAGCAGGCTGTCCCAGATCGCAGTTGCGAGGGGCGATGACTGCGCAGACGGCCCCTCCTGCAGCCTTCGGAGAGCCGCTTGAGAGTCTTTGCAGACCACCACTGGATCCTCTGTGTGCGCCGGGTGCTGTCGCAGGTACTCGAGTGCTGCGTTGAGGGCTACGAGCTCCGCCCTGTAGCTCGAGCAGAGTTTGCCGGCAGCGACCCGCAGCTCCCGGGTCTCGCCGTCCGGCAGCTCGAGCAGAGCTCCAGCACCTCCGCTGGCGACTCCTCGGTCGGCCGCGCCGTCCGTCCATACCCACGTGGCGCATTGTGGGAGGCCGCTCAGGTGGAGAGTAGCTACCTCCAGCTTCGTCTGGGCAGATGCTGCTCTCGGCGGGAGGCCGGGCCCGACGTCCAGGCGGAAGGTCACGCCGTTCGTGGTCACCCATGGGGGTTGCCGGCTAGCGAGGATGGGCTCGATTGGCGACGACACGCCAGCCGCCTCCCAAACCTCCATGCCCACCTGTCTCCAACCAGTGACGGAGGACAGGCGCGCCGGCACCACCTCGTCGGCGACGGTGCGGAGCGGGTCCTCGCGCGGCAGGGCTCTCGCCTTGGCCAGGAAGCGGGCCGCCAGCGAGAGACGCCGCTCCGAGACCGGGGGCATACCGGCTTCCGCCAGCAGCGCGTGGGTCCGTGTTGAGACGGGGCAGCCCGTGATCACGCGCGCGGCCGCCCGCACTTCACGTTCGAGGATCTCGACGTGGGAAGCGGGTGTGGCAGGCAGCCAGGCCGCAGCAGCATGTTCTTGGGGGCCCCTGACATATCCATTGGCCACCGCTCGAAGTTGCTGTTCTCGGAGGCCCCAGTCACGCCCAGTTAGCCTCTTGAGCTGGGCTATCCGGGGACGAGTCTTCTGTCGCAGATTTCTGCAGTGCGCCCCGAAGTGGAGGGTGCGGTCTAGAGTAACTCCAAGGAGTTTCAGCTGGGCGCCCGCGGCCACGGTCTCCCCTGCTACCTTGATGTAGCAGTCGACTGCGTCCTTGGGGGCTTGAGAGAGGACCAGCACCTGAGTTTTTTTCGCTCGCCACCCTCATCTTCGAGGCGAGGGCCCACTGCACCAGAACATCAGCCGCTTGCTGGGCTCTCCGCCGTGCGACCAGGATGGTGTTGCCAGAGCACAGCGTCGCCGTGTCGTCGGCGTACATGTACGGCGTCGTGCCTGGGATCTTCTTCAGGGCGTCTGCCAGTGGCGCCGCCCATAACAGGAACAGGGTCGGCGCCAACACGGTTCCCTGTGGCAGACCTGCTCTGAAGATTCGCTCGCGGCTCTTGGTGCCATTAACTTCTGTGTGAGCTCGGCGGTCGCGGAGGAAGCTCCAGATCCAGGTGATGAGGCAGAGTGGTATGCCTTGTTGCAACAGTCGGACGCGGAGTAGCCGATGATCCACCGTGTCGTAGGCTCGGGAGAAGTCGAACGCCGTCAGGACGTAGCGTTGGGCCGTCTCGCCGTCCGCTGGCTGCTTCTTACGCGATCGCGGGCGCTGCCATCCGTCCTGAACCTGCTGCACCAGTCGCCCCAGGCTGTCCTCCACGGAGCGGCCCTCACGGAAGCCCACCTGTTCGGGTGGGATTAGGTTCCGGGCCGCTACAACGTGGTTCAACCTGCTGAGGACTAGTCGTTCGACCAGCTTGGAGACGTGACTGGTGAGCGCGATCGGTCGGTATGAGGAGATCAGGCGTTTGTCCTTCCCGGCCTTTGGGATAGGGCAGATTGTGGCCTGGCGCCACTCACGTGGGACGGCTCCTTCTTGCCAGCTGCTGTTGATGGCGTGCAGGAGTTCCCGTCGCGCGGTAGGGCCCAGGTGGAGGAGCATCTCAGCCGTGATGCCGTCGGGACCGGGTGTCTTCCTCAACTTGAGAGAGTTCAGCTGCCGGACCAGTTCGTCCATGCTGAAGGCTCCGCAGCATCCCACACGGGCGCCGTCACACTCTCGGCACGTGGACGGGGTGAGGGCCTTCCTCTGCTGCTTCGCCAGGCGGTCGACCTTGGGAACCCTTACTTGGCGTGAGACCCAGGCGTATGTTTGACAGAAGGCGTCGGCCTTGTCGCCGTCCTTGACTAGGAGGCGTCCTCCGTGTTCCATAGCCTGGCCGTCTCTGTGGTCGTCGTCGGTCGCACCTTCCCATCGTTTGAGGATCTTCGACACTCGGCCGATGCTGTTGGGCTTGTTCAGCTCCTCGGATACCATCTGGTGGAATCGTTGGCGGGAGACTCTCGCCTCCACCTCCGCCGCTCGTCGTCTGGCTTCAACATAGCGCTGGATCGTCTCGGGGACTGCGGGGTCCACTCGGGCCTGTGCTGAACGGCGGTCCGCGATGGCCTCCTCCAGCTCCGGGTCTGTAGCCCAGGGCTTCGGATCAGCGCGCGCCCCACGAGGGATGTGTCGCGCGCTGGCTTTCTGTAGAGCCGCAGTGAAGCGCGTGCACAGCTGCTGTGCCGTTGCACCCCGAGGAGGGTCTGCCAGGGCCGCTTCGCACTCCGAAGACCAGGCTGACCAGTCGGCTTTCTTGAAAGCCCACCGGGCCTTGCGGACTCGTCTTGAGCTGCTGAAACCGCTCCGCACAGTCATCTTCATCACCCGGTGGTCGCTACCGAGCGATGATGTGCGGCGGGCCAGGGAGAGGGCGCACACCGCGATGTCCGGTGCCGTCTGACTGTCCACTCTGGTCGCTTCTCCAGAGTTGAGGACCGTCCAGCCGGTCCGGTCCAGCCAGGTCGCCACTCGATCCCCCACGTCATCCGCCGCATCACAGGTCGAGTCCCACAGAGGATGGTGGGCGTTGAAGTCCCCCACCACGATGGAGTTGTCATCATTGGGGAGAAGGTCTGGCTCGAAGTGGTCCTCTCGTTGGTCCTCCGCTGATGATCGAAGGGGCGGGCGGTACAGACACCAGATATCCAGCGGGCGGTTACCCAGTATCTTCACGCCGCAGATCTCCGTCGAGTCATCCGCAGCGGCGAGGGGACGGTCCGTCAGGGGGGGTGAAGTGGATTCCCGCGCGAACGTAGACCGCCACGTCCCCACCCTTGACAGACGGTGCACCTGTGAGTCGTCCTCGTGTCCGTCTGGTGACCACTGGAGGCTGGAAGCCCCGGATCCTCGTTGCAGACCGGGAGAACTGACCCTCTTGAACTGCTACCACATCCGCCTTGTTTGACAGGAGCCAGCGTTCGAGCTCACCAACCTTGGGTTGTAGCCCGTTCGCGTTCCAGCACACCAGGTGCAGGAGACTGCGCTGTTGTCGGTTCCTGTGGTAGCGTCTGTTGCGGGCTCTTCTCCGGCCTCCGGGGCCTCCCGCCCCGCGGCCACCACCCCCGTCGGTGCTCACGGGGGCGGACACTGCCGGGCTGCTACTCATCTAGCAGGGCCGCCCCGCGCTGCGAGCGCAGGTACGGTCCCGCCAGTGGGCATAACGCGGCCCCGCGCGTGAAACTGGAGTCGATGGTGCCGGTGAAGTCCGAGTCCGTTGAAGTTGGAGTCCGGGCGACGTAGCGACGAGACGACAGCGACGATCGGGCAGGGATCGCCAGGCGCCTCTCGGAGAGGGCGCAGTTGGACCGTTTGGTTTCCCCGCCGGGTCTCCCCCGGCAGGGCGGACCGGTTGACTGACGTCGTCGGTCCACACTCCCCACCACTTGACGGCGGTCCATCCAGGGAGCCCATCCAATGCTCGATTTATACTTCGAACGAACAGCGGTATCGCGACGGCTTACATTCCGTACACCCTACAGGCATCGGTCAAACATTTTCTAAACTAAGTATCCCTGACTGGAACATAAAAAGGCGCATCATGGGCAGTTTATCACGCCTCATCGGAACACTGCCAGCTCATAGCCGCTGTCCAACTCGATGCTCGAAACTGCCTTGCTGTTAAATGTCTGTTAAATGTAACAGGACAGAGGCGGATCTCTCTGAGGACAGGCTGTAAACGGACCTATCGACCTGCTTACCCTAATCAGGGCACTATTGTTTTGTCATCGCCTTCCATGGTGTTATTTTTGCGTGAAATGTGCATGCATGTGGCCTATTAATGTATTTTTCTGCTAGTTATCACGTTGTTCGTTAATATCACATGTTCATCGTCAAGGTCCGCTCAATGTCTTCTGTGAAATATCGTAACGTCGGTTTTATTATTCTCGCGTGAAGTTCTCTTTTTGCTGGTCGGATGAAAATATCCGTCTTTCCTCCTTAAACACAATACGATTATGAACCATGGACTGTTGGTGATTAAAATTATGACTGCTTAGTGCTCAGCTATCAAGGTTGGTCGTAATTTTCATCTTTTTATGTTGAAAATGGCCATGAATATGTCATTTTCCTGTTTTGAAACATGCTTATTGCTCGTTAACTCTTTCTCGTTATATGGCTTTATTTAGACACCATTTAAGACCACAAAAATGCTAAAATGCCCCCCCCCCCCACACACACACACATCAATAACCCCGCGCAATGTTTCTCTCTTCACAGACGGGTCTGAACTCGACGCGTGTGACGGTGTCGGGTCTAAGCGCGGCCACCACCTACCAGATCTCTGTGTCGGCCCAGAACGGCGTGTCGGCAGTGTCACCGGCAGAGGACGAACATGCTGACCTCGAGGTCACCACACACGCCTCCGGGGCAGGTCAGTCGCGGGCGACGCTGGGAGGGGGATGCTTGTTCATTGTCAATGCGACGTTAATTGTCAAATGATGTGTAAGTAGAAAAAGTATTTGATGATCAATCTCGACGATCGTCTTGGTCGAGTAGCATCGGTATATCACACATTTTGTTATGGAACCTGCAAGCGTGTCGCCTACTATCCTGACCTGACCTGACGTGACCTCCCCTATGTCACAGTTCCGTCGATGGTTTCGGAGGTCCGTGTCACCCTGCTCCGTCCCTCGGAGGCTCTGCTCAGCTGGAGGCCGCCCTCCGACCCGGAGGATGCCGTTCTCAAGTACGAGGCACGCTACTTCACCAAGGTATGTGCCAGAGAGGCAGCGCCGTGTCACAATCTGCACATGCTGTCCGTCAGACCACCCAATTGCAGTTTAACCAGGCAGCCGGCGAAGATTTATGGCTAACGTCCAAGCTCATTCTGGCGGGGTTAGTTTTCCAGAATCGGGAACTACCAGGCTTTGTCCGAGAAACTCGCGTCTGCTGAAGTCTGCTATCGCTCAAATCAAGTTCACTGATGCAATTTACGTAGTGTCAGACGTTTGGCGGCTGGTAATAAATCTTTGGAATCTTATAACGGTAATTAACGCTACCCTTTGGTTCAAAAGGAGCGCAGCTCGTGTGAAGACTGTCACAATCGCCTGCCATCTGGGCCGGTGGTGGGGCGAACTGTTATATGAGTCGTTTGTATGGGGAACACGCCTGTTGCCAAAGTGTTTAATATCGCTCGTGAGGAAAATGGAAGATGGTTTGGTGGCTTTGAGGTCGCAGAGCGAAGGAGGTAGTTGTTAAACACGAGCGCTGTCCAATCCTATAAGTGGTATTTTTAATGTGTCGAATCGCGAATTTAAAATGGGCTCTGCTTATTGGAGAACGGAAGAAATTAGTGACAGTCAGTTTAGTCATTCGTCACTTGTTTGACGTTATAATAAGCTTAAACTAACGAAGTGAAGTGCGCCTTTGTTCGTTTATTAACTAAATGAAGAATGCCTGAATGACTGAATTACAGCCTTATGGGAAATCTAGGGAAGGATTACCTCCACAATAAATGCATCGTCTTGCTCTGCGTTCTTTCAAGATCAAAAGCATGCAAACATGTTTTCCTCTTCTAAGGCTTTCTTGTTTGCTTTAGCTCGTCTCTGGATCCTCCTAAGGTGTTCTATGAAACTCTGTACCTGTCCGACTGTCTGACCCCTGCCCCTCTCTCTCCGGCAGAGTGAGGGCGCCAACAGCAGCAGCGTGTTCTCGGACTCAGCCAGTGCCACGGTCACCGGTCTGAGACTGAACACCGAGTACGGGTTCCAGGTGCGGGCTCGTACCGCCCGCGGCTGGAGCGAGTACAGCCGGCCGCTGTACACCACCACCGGGCCGGCGGCCGACTCCGGTGAGAGGGGAGAGAGGGAGGGAGTGGAGAGAGAGAGAGAGAGAGAGAGAGAGAGAGGGAGAGAGAGAGAGAGAGAGAGAGAGAGAGAGAGAGAGGGAGGGAGAGGGAGAGGGAGAGGCTGATAAAGCGATGAGGGGAGAGTGGTATGAGAGCTGGAGGGAGAGAGTGAGCGAGGGAGGGCAGCAGCGCTAATCCCTTTCCGGACAAGGCCGTCTATCTCCGGGTATTTCAGCTGTGTTGATGTGTTTGCGAACTGAAACCATTATAGCATCATCCCCGGGTATCTGGCTAAATTTATCAAATGGGAGCGCTGTCGGCAACAGTTTGGATGAGTTTGTGCCCCAAGCGGGCAGCATTGCGTCGAAGTGACGGTAGTTTCACACCAACTTGGAGCTGCGAGCGCTGTCTGATGCTCGAGGCTATCTGTCAGTGGCAATTGCAACTTTCAGTTGATGTCTCAGACTCTTTGGGTTTGTCCAACTTGATCAGTGTTTCGTAGTGCTGACGATCAGTTAAGTCCCATGGAAACTCGGGTCGTGGCCTTGCCCTTACCTATTCACCCCTGCGGCTGCCTTCAGCGTAGCTGGGATTTGCAATGGTTTGCTGCGTCGTCACTGAACTTCTCCCACATCCCTGTTCAGCGTTCCATCTACTTGGCGGTGGCTTATTGAACCCCACTCACTCCCATGCCCCCACCTACTCCCTCATCGTATGTTAGAGGTGCAGCGGCTGGTCGTATCTGCGTTCACTTACCCGCGCCTATCTCAAGTTTACGTATAAGGACCTAGAACCTGTCATCTGTCCCCACTGACTTACCTCACCTACCCCCAGCGTACCTGGGCGGCTCGGGCGCCAATGGCGGCGGTATGAACGTCGAGGTGATCGCCGGCGTCTCGGTAGCCGTCGGCGTCCTCCTCGCCGTCGTCATCGTTGTGGCCGTGCTGTTCGTCAAGAGGTGAGACCCCGGTAGTGCGCTTATGTAGGATACGACAATATGATACGCAGTGCGTTACGACATTTAGCGACCAAGTTTTTTTGTGATCGTAAAGCGTTGAAAGGGATGCATCCCCGGCCTAAGGGAGACGAATCCGTTTGTATGCTTTGATCTTTTTTTGTTTAATGAGCATGGTTTTCTTGGATAATTTATCAATGTGCAGTAGCTCCAACCGCTACCTCTCAGGGTTACTAACAGGGGATGAGATTAGACGGTTTTGCGTAAGCATGCATTTACACATGTGCTCCACTTCACCTCACCAACCACCTTACCCTGTGTGCTTTGTCACAGTCGCAGCATGGAGAATCCGCACAAGAAGCGGCCCAGGGACGTCGGCTCCATGGGCTACCACAACGGCCTGGGTAAGTTCTGGCATCTTTCTGATGCAACCCCGCCAGTCGGGTTTACCCTCCAACAATTCTAGTTATTTCACACCATCAGCCTCCCAGTGTGTGAGAGTGGGGCTAATTCAGCGGGCTGAACCCTGGCTGAACCGGTGGAAAGTCGGACGTTGGGGCGGTGGTCAGACTGCCCGGTACCGGCTGGTGGTCGGTCGGGGGGGGGGGAGGAGGGTCGAGGGGTGATGGTCAGCTGATGTGGTGCCGATGGGCGGAGCGGCCGCACGCTACACCACCTGCTCACTGAGCCGAGCACTAGATAGGCTTTGAGAGCGCCTACTTGTGTGGAGGGAAAGGTTCCGTGCTGCGATGGGGTGTCGGGTTAGTAGCCAGCTTGAACTAGGTCTGGCGTGAAATGCGCGAGCTGCCCTTATTTATTTTATTTATATTTTATTACCTATGTTTTATTTTACTTTTTTGTTACAAGTCAATGCAAATGTACGCTGATTATTATTGTTCGTGCCTGGCGTCGATTATAAATTACATCTCAAATAATTAATTGTTATTATAGTATCATCATTGTGGGATATGGGTTTCCTTGGTTAGAAAAGGTCTGACTACGGTCACTGCAGCTGTTGAAACCTTTCTGAGCGAGTTCCCAGTACAGCCACTGGGTTTGACCGTTCCTGTCGCCTTGCCTGTCCCGCTGAGGACATTGTGCCCCCCAGGAGACGTTTCGATATTGCTCTATGGTGTCTCTCCGACTTTGTGTGCTCCGGTATCACGGAATCGTTAGTAACAATATAGTCTCATCCGAGTACGCCGTTAACCCGAGAGCCGTGTTGATAATGACAATACGACTGCCATCTGACCCCGTAAACTCTGCCAGTGCCCATGATAACCGTGTGGTGTGTGTTTGTTACAGCGATGCAGATGGGACTGAACACCCCGGTACAGACACCGTCCACAGCATGTGAGTGGCATAGACGCTGAGAGGTTGGACCGGGGCTATTACACGGGGTAGAACGGACGTTAGAGCATGACGGGTTCGCTCGCTCGGCTCTTAGTCAAGGGATTTGCGAATGCATTTTGGGTTTGTGTGCCACCAATGCTTTCGCGGTTTTCGAGCTGATTTTGCTGCTTAGCGAATAGCGGAAGAGTTTGTGGTTTATTTTTGCCGAGTCATCTCGGAAAGTGAATCATTTCACCGATTATTTTATCTAGTTATTCTTTTGCGTGACTTCAGTGCCGTTTCTCTCTTTCCTCTGACTCAATGATTCATTCTCAAACATTGTCTGTTTGACGTAAAGCCCCCACATTTGGTCTCGGACCCCGGCTCCGTCTGCTCCCATTATTTTTCTAATCCGCCGCCTCCCATCACTCGCGATCACGAACCTCTGCCCTGCTGACCGCCAGAGCCGCCCTTCAGCGACCACTAATCCTGGCCTGCTCAGTTTCCGCTGATAGCGGCTCCCGTTAGAACAGGGATCCTCTCCTCACATACCCCGGCCACTGCTGATCCCTGTTCTGAGAAGTGGCGGTAGTCCGGTACTAGCGTGTGGTAAGATCCGCAGACTATCCGGGGCTCGTGGTTTGACTGATTCCGGTGATCTGATTCATATTGCACAATGTCAGCTGTGGTGTCCCATTTCAACGCTCCTTTTCCACAATATCATCTCTCTAAATGGCAGAAGAAGCGGAGTTTTTTTTTAGAGTGAGATAAGTGTCTGCAAAATCTTATTTTTCCATTTAGTTCTTATATGCGTGGCGTTAAAGATAAAGACTATAAGACTTCAATGTCCTCTCCATCTAGATCCCCAGCGACCCTTTCGTTGAATAACCCTCAACATCTGCGTCTATTTTTCAGTGACGTCGCCCGCGTTCAGCCCTGTGACCCACCAGCGGACCTACATCGACCCGCACACGTACGAGGACCCGAACCAGGCGATACGTGAGTTCGCCAGAGAGATCGACGCGTCTCACATCATCATCGAGGCGGTGATCGGCGGAGGCGAGTTCGGAGACGTCTGCAGGGGCAAACTCATGGTGAGTTGTGGGGAACTCATGGCGAGCTATGGAAACTCGTGGTGAGTTATGGGAAACTCACGGTGAGTTAAAGGAACTCATAGTGAGTTAGGGGAATTCATGGCGATTATTGAAGCTCGTGGTGAGTTGTGGAAAACTCATGATAATTAGGGCAGGGGATAATGTATGGTGGAAGGGTTCCCTTCTTTGTCGATTTTCCTCCCGGTAGTCAGTCGCCTGCCTAGTGAACGTATTTTTGTTTGTCCACAGTCTACTTGGTTGCCTATTTGACAGTTTGGTCTGTCTGGCCTATTTTTAGATAATCTTGCAAACCATCTTGGTGTGTTTTCCTGCAGTCTATTAATAGAATATGCACGTTTATTTTTAGGCTCATTGACTTTCCGTCTGTGATCTCAGAACACCGAAACAATGCCATATCGTCATATCGTGTGGTCCACCCAGTATCGACCAACCCCGGCCTAGCCTCACCAGGTGCTCCCTATCTTCTCAGGATGTCACGGTAGCCATCAAGACTCTGAAGCCGGGCACCTCTGAGAAGGCCAAGGTGGATTTCCTGACTGAGGCGTCCATCATGGGCCAGTTCCAGCACCCGAACGTCATCTTCCTTCAGGGCGTGGTGACCAAGAGCAACCCGGTGATGATCATCACCGAGTTTATGGAGAACGGCAGCCTGGACACATTCCTCAAGGTGATGAGGGCGGCGCGGCGGTGCGTGGGGGCGAGTGGGGTGGAGCCGCTGATTGGGTGTGATTGGTGTTTGGGTTTATCAACTATCAAGTGTTTGTGTAGGTGACAATGAAAGAAAGTCGGACAGGTGTTCTGATGATGCATCGGCCTCTGATCATTTGTAAAGTGATTCGCACACCTACCTGTCATCGTGCAACAACCTATTTTTAGCCTCGCGAGTTTTCCCGATAGGTATAATTGACCGATATTATCCCCTTTCTGACAGCTCATTCTCTCTCGGTCTCTGACACCCTTCCCTGCTCTCAACAGGCGAACGACGGCCAGTTCCAGATTCTGCAGCTGGTCGCCATGCTGCGCTGCGTGGCCTCGGGCATGCAGTACCTTTCCGAGATGAACTATGTGCATCGGGACCTGGCCGCCCGCAACGTGCTGGTCAACGCCCAGCTGGTCTGCAAGATCGCCGACTTCGGACTGAGCCGGGAGATCGAGGCGTCCAAGGAGGGTGCCTACACCACGCGGGTCAGTCGGGGGGCGGGACAGTGTGTGGGAAGTGATATGGAGCCTGGACCTGGAGGGAATGGACGAGTGGGATGACTGGGGCTGTTTGAGTTAGTTTGGGAGGCCAATGCAAATGGATGATTCAGGAGTCTTTCAGGAGTTGTGGAAAGGAAACTTCGGCCTCATGTTTGCTGTTGATGAATAGTTGACCTCACCTCGATATACTCTAATGTATGTCATGTCATTTTACTATACATATGCACAATTATTGTTACCATACAGCTTATTCCACCTACCAGTGATAACTTCTCAGCTAGGCCATTTAAAATCGTTCAATGTGTCCTCACGTCCTCTATCTATCTTCGCAGGGCGGTAAGATCCCGGTACGGTGGACCGCGCCGGAGGCCATCGCCTTCCGCAAGTTCACCTCCACGTCGGACGTGTGGAGCTTCGGCATCGTGGCGTGGGAGGTGATGTCGTACGGAGAGCGGCCCTACTGGAACTGGAGCAACCAGGACGTCATCAAGAGCATAGAGAAGGGATACAGGTGAGGGCGGGAGGAGCTAGGAGATGGGGCTGTGGGGTGCGGGTGGATATGGGGCGAGGAGTGTAGAGATGCAACATGCAGAAATGAGAAATGTAGACCAGACACCGCTAGGAGATTGCGTGCCGATCAGGTGTAACGTGCATTGTGGATCAGTTACGTACCATTTTGAAGTAACAATAAAAATGACAATGAATAAGTTTGAATCCGTTTCAAATGATGAATTCCTGGATGAATGAATTAATATTCGTACCAATGAATGGAAACTTGATGTAATGCATTGTTTACCAACGAATAAATTACTTCATGAATATCTTCGTATCCATGTAAATCATCGAATTAAGTAATGAATGAATCAGCACCAATAATCACCAATCACCGATCGAGCTCTCCCCTAACGTCGCCCGTCTGTGTGCCTCGTGCAGGCTGCCGGCGCCGATGGACTGCCCGGAGGCGCTGCACCAGCTGATGCTGGACTGCTGGCAGAAGGAGCGCGCCCATCGGCCGCCGTTCGCCAGCATCGTGCGCACGCTGGACAGCCTCATCAACTGTCCCGAGACGCTGCGCAAGGTGGCACCCAACAGGTGAGTCAGGGGTTATAGAAAATGTCAGCGAGTGGTGTTGACAATCCGTGTGGAGGATTATCGAAGCAGACACGGCAGCCGCCAGCTTGTTTTGATGTTAGGTGAAACGCCCTGTGGCGTGTTTCTCATATGCGAGCTCCCTGTGGTGGAACATTCTTGTGTGACCTCCCCTGTTGTACCGGCTCGCTGTGACCGCCCTGTATGTGGCGAGGTTTCCCCATGTGTAACCTCCCTTGTTTCACCACGTTGACGGCTGGCGCTGGAACGTTCTGTGGTGGTTCTGTGTTGATGTTCCCCTGTGTGTGACCTCCCACGTCTCCCCGCAAGAGCGCCGGGCTAGTCTGTGACCGTTCTATGTTGATGTTCCATATGTGTGACCTCCCCCGTGTTCCGCCGCAGGAGCGCCGGCTCGCTGTGGCCGCCGGCCGCCGACCCGGCCACCCTCACCAGTCTGGAGGCCTGGCTGGCCTCCATCAAAATGAGCCGCTACCTGGAGAACCTGCAGCGCGCCGGCGTCACGTCGCTGGACGCGGCGGCGCGGCTCACCGAGCCAGACCTGGTCGCCGTCGGCGTCACGCTGGTCGGACACCAGAAGAAGATGGCGCAGGCCATCGCCTCGCTGCGGCTCCAGGTCCGGACGCACCGGGCCGACGCGTGCTTCGTGTAGCGGCCGCGGGCGGCGCCACTGCAGCGGTGGTGGCGAGGTGCCCGCCGCACGGCGGTGTGATTTGGCTGTTGGACGCTGGACCGGCGCGGCTGTGTGTTGTTGGCCGTTGGAGACCAGTGCGGGGCGGCGCCGGCGCGGCGGCGCGGCCGCCGGTGTGATCACGGTGCAGCGGGGCGGTCCGGAGACGGCGCCCCGCGCCCCGTGGTTCTGTGATAGCCGCCGGGACGAGCCGGGCCCGCGTCGCGTCGTTGCTGTTAAGCATACCTGATACTCATCCAGTGTTGGTCATATGTGCCTGTGAACCATTCCATTGTGCGCGCTCGTCTCACCATTGCATTTCCTCGGCTGCCGCTGTCGTGTGATATATGTAGACTGCTTTTATAGAAACACGTGTGATCGAGAGGATCGAGCGAGCTGCATTTTTATTACGAGCGGAATATTTTCTCTCCATTTGGGGATTTAGTTTTAGCATTGAGAGCCGTATGCGCGTTTGGTTTGTTTTTGTATGGCTGTGTTCGTGAGAGGCGACAACCGGACGGTGGTTTTGTTTTACTCGTACCGCCTCGTGCGTTATGGTTTGCGGTCTTTCCACCCGATAACCGAGAGGTTCCGTTGGTGTCATGATTTCGCTCTCTTTTACAGTATCATGATTATCGCTGGAATAAATTATTCGATCCGGTTCGTTATGGTATCTATGACTGCTGAAGATGTCTGCACACTGCACAAGTCTTATGATGCAATGGAACTCGAGGGAATGTAAGTGGGTCAATATGAGCATGAACACTGAAAAAAAAAACTAGCAAATATCAAAGCCGCTGTAGTCAGCATCAATAACGATCAACACGTGTATCACAATACATAGGCGGGAAAGCAAGTCTATACCCCTGCCCAATGTTCACGACATGCACCATTAATCAGTACTCACAACAATCGTAACGAATTTCCCGGCACATCGCCGTAGTACACATTAAAAACGCCAGTCTGAGCTATGAACAACCGCCAATGCGCCAACTCTAAACTGACCGCGTCAAATGATTCCACGGCAGCTCACCTCCCAGTGAACCTGGCTCATATCGGATCGGCTCCACATCCTGAGGCCGCCGTCGGAACCTGAGGGCGCTGTGCCCACCTCTGAGACGAGTGTGTGTGGGCCGCCTAGGCCTCAGCGGCCGGGACTGACGGCACTGTGCCCACCTCTGAGACCAGTCTGTGCCCTGTGGGCCGCCTAGGCCTCAGCGGCCGGCGCCGGGCCGAGACTGACGGCTCCGATGGGCAGGTAGAAGCCGTCCTCTGCCGGTGTGTGTCGCTGAACCACCTCCAGCTGCTCCACCTTCACCGTACCAAAGTCAAACTCCTTCAGCTCCTGCGGGGAGGCACAGGTTAGTCAGCTGGAGTGTGTAGAAATCGGATACAGCGTTTACAGACTGTCATTGAATCGTCTACTGGTGGCTGCGCTATGGTTAGATGTTGCCCCTTGGAAACAGAAAACGATAAACAGAACAGATCAGAAAACGATCAACCAGCTAGATCATACTTTACCTGTGCACTTGTAAGCTACGTCACATTACAATATCATATCACATCTGAAAGTCAAATGAATGAATGTGCCCTAAGCCGGAGCCCTATGAATTTCGCGATGGCCACAATACCCAGCCCCGTCCAGCTAAATATCGTACCTTCATGATCGCGGTGGCATCAAAGGTGGACTTGCGCAGCTTTGCATACTCGGGAGACGACTCGTCCATGTTTTTCACCAGGAATGACACGTTCATGACGGTACAGTGCAGCTTGACGTGGTCATACTCCTTCTTTGATAGACCTGGTGGGCAGGCAAGACACGGAGGCGGTTAGATTTCGAGAAATATGCCCAAAAACAGTCAGAAAAAGAACGGTGAAAGTAAAAATGCTACCGGAACACCACGAAATTAGGCGCACACCCACAACGCTAGGTTACTTTGAAGTTGGAAATGTGCCATAGAGTAATGGGTGGAGACTTCCATTGGCGTCCAACTGGCGTCTAACTGAGCACGAGCAAGCGTCCAAGTTGGCGTCTAACTTGGCGTCTAACTGTTGACCGGATACTTTCAAGCTAGACGCATCTAGAGTAAGCTGTCGCCAGATAGACGCAGCCGCCGTCCAGCTAGACGCGTCTAAGGCTTAGACGCGTCTAACTAGATGCGAAATGGAAGTCTCCACCCACTGTCACAACTCACTTCGTACCTAACACTGCTTTGTGTATATTATGATATGAACCATACCTTTCTGGGGTACAATAGGTAGCAATTATATCCAGCTAGCCTTCCTAGTCTCCTCAAGCCTCAAGGTCAGAGGTAATATTCCCAATATTACAACGTCCACTCCTTTCCCTCCTTCCCTCCCTTTCTTTCCCTTCATCCCGCGTAACTTACCGGTTGCGTAGGCGATCTCCATGCAGCGGTCTGCCAGCCGCTGCATGGCACCACTGCCGTCACCCTCGTGCACGCGCGCAAACACCACGCGCGCCTCGCTCTCGTCGTCGTTCATGATGTCGAGCTGACGCACCCGCAGGGAGAGTCCGGACGGCGGCAGCATACCCCTGGCCGGCAGAGAGGCGGTCGGGTGGATGGGAGTGCCAGCTTAGGTGTTGCGTTGGTCAACTTGTGGGGTAACGCTATTGGCGCATCCTGACAAGTCGAAACCCACCCACGAATTAAGTCAAATTACAAATTAAATAGGCAAATATTTTTCCATCATCCACCATAAGTTTGCCATCAAAACAATGGGCATCATCCTCTCCAGTCTTCGTTCTCTCTCCTGATCCTGCCACACCACCAACCTAACCACCACCCCTTAAACATACCCCAAGTACGTGTATGAGTTCTAACCGATGACCCTTCCCCCCTCCCAAGACACATACCTCAGCTCGTCGGCGTGGTTGTTGAGCGCGCGGCAGAAGGCGGTCCTCTCCGACTCACTGAGCAGCGTGGCCATGACCAGGGTCAGGTGAAGGCGGCGCCCGTCCTGGAATAGTTCGGGGCGCACGCCGCGGCTCTCTGCGGCCACCTCCAGCGCAGACTTCTGCCGGGGTGGAGAGGGGAGGTGTCAGGTGGTGGCTTCTGGGTAATGGAGAGCCGTCAGACGGACGGCATAGTTAGTCATGGAAAGGGTACAGGTTACCACCAAAATCTATATAACTATTTGTAGGGTATTATGGTTAGTTACCATGCTATGATGCTATGTTACGTTACTACAATATGTTACCAATTACCATGATACATTTCTACGATACATTACTACGAGACGTAACTACGATGGGTGACAGTGATACGTTACAACGAATTACGAAACGTCATTTCGATACTTGCCTATGATACGTTACTACGATAGGACGTCACTTCGATACGTTCCTATAAATTATGATACATTACTATGAAATAATTTGGTTAAATAATGACATTATATCGTCACAGTACTATGACGTCACACCACCGACCTTGAACGTCTCCATCCTGTTCTGGACGTGCTGAGTGGTCAGCCGGACGGCGATGAAGTGTGAGGGTGCCAGCGTCTGCCGTCCGCGGTCGGCCGACATGAGCAGCATGTTACAGGCGCGCACCACCGCGCGCCGCTGCTCGCCAATCACCTCTGAGGAACGGGAGAGAGGGGGAGGGGAGGTCAGAGGGAGGGAGTCCCCGTACATAGAAAATGTGACAGGCAGTGTTTGCTGGAGGAATGGAAGAAGTCTGCTGTTTGAAAAAGGATGGTTCATGCAGACACGGTGTCAGCGGTGTCTACCGAAACCAAACGACCGAACTCTTAAAAGTTAAAAATCGGGAAGAAATCGGAATAATACGCCAAAAACGCTACTAAAACAAACATTTGCAGTCCTTGTATCGAAGCTCTTAACAATAGCGGAAATACAACACAGATTCATACTCAGTACAGTGCATGCACAACGTGAAACTCCTGACAGAGTTAACCCGCACTGACCGACGGTGGCTGGCTTGGAGCGCGGCCCGGCGCCTTTCGGCACGGTCACCTTGCAGCCGGTGTTGTCTCTCACCAGTCGCAGAGAGTTGCCCTTACGGCCGATCAGAAATCCGTACAGGGCGCTGTGGGGCACACGGAGGTGAGGAGGGGAAGCACCTGTCGTCTGCTTGAGAAAATGGGGGGGGGGCAGCATTGGGTGATCGCAGTCGCGAGTAAAATTGGAGATAGGGGCATCCTGAGTATAGTGCTAACTGCTAGATTTATCACAAACAAATTGATTTTCTTGACCTTTGGTGGTCAACATGGGTTATAAGGTCTGGGAAAAACTATAGCACATACCTGGGTATGTCTAGCTCTGCCTTGTACTTGCCCTTCCACTCCTCAATTTTTACAGCAGAGGACATCACCTCTTCTGTTTCTGTATCCTCATCACCTGTGAAACCAATGCAGCCATTAGGCGAAACACAACATACCTATACATGGCAACTGGTGTACCAGCCAATGGGCCGTCACTGATCATGAGTGAACTTACTCAATCTTAAGTTACGAGGACCACTGCTAAGTTACATTTCGTTGGACCACAACATCCAGCACTTCCACTCATCTTACCACGAATAAAGTCCTCAGGGTCCTCATCCTGATGGGCGGCCTGCTGGGAGTGAGAGACCCTGTAGCAGGCGCCATCCACCCATACCAGATTAGGCCTCAGCACATCCATTACTTAGCAGGCCCTGCAAAGGTGAGAAAGCACTTGTCACTTGTCAGTGATACACAAAGCATAACTGGTAGTAGTAGAGCAGGCATCAGTATCACACTTGCTTTTTCTGACCAAGGAGAGGTGCCGTAGGTTAGGTTGCAGGTGATTAACCCGCGCCCCACTGGGGTCTGTGTATAACACGCCCTACTGGGGGGGGGGGGGGCTATTCATAGCCCCCCCCCTCCTAACTCCGAAACTACTGGGCCGATCGTCAAAATTCAAACGGCGTCTGATAGCCCCGGAAAAACTGTCGAGCGAAACCTAATTTCATTGACCTCGAGGTCACCGATGACGTCACAGGTCAGGTCAAAGTAAAAATTATTAGCACTTTGGCTTGTTCACATTTTGGGCTCTGGCCGCCGTCTTACAAGTCAGATCAGGCTCATTTTTGGTTTCCACACTCGTGAACAGATGCTCTAGATACCTTGAGGGTACCAAAATTGTACTTTGATTTTCAGGTCAGGGTCAGGTCATCACAGGTCACGAAAATATTATATCATGCGTCGGTCACGTGACACATGTTTTATGGTCCATTTAGGCCATAGATTTCGAATTTGATGTCGTCTGTGTCATTCAAGGTCATTTTGAGTCGAAATTAGCTTAGGTCAGGTCACTTTCAGGTCAAAAAAGGTCAAATTTTGAAGTTGAAATTTTTCAACAAAAAAGGTGTCTATTGGATGCAGTTTGAGCTCAGGAACACGATGGTGCCATTTATATTGGTGTACGATGCCAAATACGTACTGAAAAATTGATTTGAAAAATTAATAATTGTGAATTTTTTGCAATAATGCGTATAACTTGGCCATTTTTGAAGATATTTAGCTAAAACTTGCTAGAGTTAGTCATAATCATGCGTTCTGTCACATATATTCCGGTTTTTTCGAAGTCAAAAACTTTTTGAAAAAAATATAAAAATATAAATTTTGAATATTATTATATAAAATTTTCGAAATTTTCAAAATTTTGAAAATCCGAGATAGCAGTTTGATAGCGCGGTCAATTCTGAGTTCTTTCATGCAAAGAAATTGGATCTAGCTTAAAAACTGAGCTCTTGGGAGCGATTGCCGTGGTTCAATGTTTTGCGTCGAAATCGGACGAACATGACGTCACTCTGACGTCATTTCCGGCCGACCTATGGTAGCTACGAAGTTCAAATTTTGACACAAGGTGTCAAATTGATGCAGCCGAAGGTACTGAAAGTTTGGCGTCGATTCGTCAAGCGGTTTGGAAGTTATTGCAGAAAAACGGGAGGGGGGCTATAAATAGCCCCCCCCCAGTGGGGCGCGGGTTAAGACACCTCTCCTTGGTTGGAAAAACAAATGTGACACTTAAGCTTTACCACTACCGCATCACTTGCGCATCACTTAGGGTTGTCAATGAGCGGTCAGCAGGCCAAATAATCTGGACGGAATAATGGAAAATACACTCTTCTGCTCCTTAGGACATTTTCAAGTTGCTATCCTTCTAAGCTCATAAAAGGCCGTATTGTTATTGTTAGGTATAGGTATATGCATGCATGATAAGAGCAGATTTACCTAATTGAACATTTACAGGCAACAATCAAATAACAGACGCAGGCAGCCGGCAGGTATTACAAACAGTGATGCCATCCACATTTTTGCTCCATCCCAAGATCTCGACCAGAATTTCCCAAGATTCTCGTCTCGAATCCCAAGACTACCCATCGCATGTCCTTAGTAGTACCCCAAGTAAATCCATAGCTTATTTTGGACATATTAGTGTGTTTAGTGTTCAACTTTCTCTTCTTCGGGTCCACCCTTGTCCTTATTGGCGTCTTTACAGCAGCTAATGTACCTAGAGGCCGGGGGGAGGGGAGGGGGAGGGGGTCGATCGGATTCCTACAGCTGATCGGTTCCTGACCGAGTATAATAGCTTCACGAAAAATGAAGATGCTGGCCTAGACAACATTAAGCCGGTGGTATCTGCTATTATGGTCAGGTCATTCGTCGACCGTCAATGGTGGGTCAAGGACCCAAAACACAAAGTTCGAATCTGTTAGAACTTCTTGGAAACGAAGTCTGTGGCATTTTGGATTTATTTCGAAATTTATCTCGTGACACATTTGGAGAAGCTAGGGTCAGGTGAGGTCTGGCTGATTTTTAGTGTTTTCCACCAATGAGTTTTGAAATATGGGCTTCAAAACAAGCTCTTAAAAGCTTATGTGAATCCCGAAATCGAAAAGCCTATGCCGTGAATCTGCGCGTAAGCCAGTGCCCGCTGGGGCCCATGAATTTTCAAGCCGACGATGGCGAGGGGGTCTAAACGAGGACCTTAACTCGTCCCCTGGACTATACGTCAGCAGTGTTGTGAAGGTCGCAAGGTTACGCTTTGATTATTTTTGGTCCAGCAGAGCCCAGAGGTCAGGTGACCAGACACTTTTCCGAGGTCAAAGACAAATTGCCCTTATTTTGGTTCGCGGTCAACGGATAAGCCTCCATAGAGCAAAACCGTAAAATGAAACGCTTTATGCGGGAGCCGCTTTCTGAAATATTTTTTAGGCATAATGTTTGTAAAAGCTTTTCATAGCCATCCAACATCATGCCTCCAAACCACCCATCCCCGTTGATCGGTAGTTGGAAATTAAACAAATGAGCGCCAGTTGCGAACAGCGACTGAAAGCTGCTACTATACCCATAACAAGTAATGGTACAAAAATAATCCACGGTCGTCAAGTTAGATGTAAGTGAATCCTAATCTATAATCTAAGATTCGGAATCAGGTGAGCCCCTACGATTTGGACCAAACTTGGTCAGTGGATAGTACGTAACGTCCTGATTACGATGCACCCAAAATCTAAGCTCGGCCCGCCATATTTACGAAGTTACGGATGTTTGAATTTCAAGGTCATTCGGGAGAGCCCCTGCGATTTCCGTCAAAATTTGTGTACGGACACTCTAGATGCTCCTCATTACGAATATCACAAAATTTAAGCTCGGCCCGCCATATTTACGAAGTTACGGAGGTTTGAATTTCAAGGTCATTTGGGTGAGCCCCTGCGATTTCCGTCAAAATTAGTATACGGACATATTACATCCTCCTCATTACAAATATCATAAAAGTTAAGCTCGGCCCGCCATATTTTTCAAGTTACGGAGTCACAAAGTTACGGAATTTCAAGGTCATTCGGAGAGCCCCTCCGATTTTCGTCAAAATTTGTATGCGGACACATTACATGCTCCTCATTACGAATATCGTAAAAGCTAAGCTCGGCCCGCACTATTTCAAAAGTTACTGACGTTTGAAACTCACTGAAATTCATGTAATTCATGTAATGTGTCCGCATACAAATTTTGACGAAAATCGGAGGGGCTCTCCGAATGACCTTGAAATTCCGTAACTTTGTGACTCCGTAACTTGAAAAATATGGCGGGCCGAGCTTAACTTTTATGATATTTGTAATGAGGAGGATGTAATATGTCCGTATACCAATTTTGACGGAAATCGCAGGGGCTCACCCAAATGACCTTGAAATTCAAACCTCCGTAACTTCGTAAATATGGCGGGCCGAGCTTAAATTTTGTGATATTCGTAATGAGGAGCATCTAGAGTGTCCGTACACAAATTTTGACGGAAATCGCAGGGGCTCTCCCGAATGACCTTGAAATTCAAACATCCGTAACTTCGTAAATATGGCGGGCCGAGCTTAGATTTTGGGTGCATCGTAATCAGGACGTTACGTTCTATCCACTGACCAAGTTTGGTCCAAATCGTAGGGGCTCACCTGATTCCGAATCTTAGATTATAGATTAGGATTCACTTACATCTAACTTGACGACCGTAAATAATCCTGCGACCTCGGGAAGATAATGCCTGGGCCCTGTTTCACCGGTGATAGCAGCACGCTGCTATCAAATGGGGCGTTCTAGGGGAAACTAATCCACCAGGTGGCTCTGCTATGCAAAGCCTCAAAGGCGTTTGGCGCAGCTGGTACAAATCTGGCGCGCATACATTTTGCAGGCTTTGATAGGCTGTGACTAGCGAGTTGTGTGGATGAGGAGAGGAAGGAGAGTCGATCATCTGAGTATATATTTAATTACATTGTTGTACTGTTCTAATACGGCTGCCTGGTATTTGAGATTCGACTAAATTCTGTTACTACACGCGCCTGATACGTCCCTGTATTACACGTTTCTGAAAACTGCAAAAAATTGATGTAATATGAGACGTGTATTCATTGATCTGTCGGAACATAGTAAGTCAGAGACATACATAGGTAGACACTAGGACATTCAGAACCTCTCGACTCGTAGGAGTGTGGTACGCTTACTTCACTATATTCCCTCGGAAGTTGGCGAGCATGAAGCAGATGTACACTATTTCCGTGCTTAGCTTAACCTGAGATACACACATCCGACCACGTAGAATAGCGTAGGTCTTGGCTAACCCAATAACACGTTCCACGTGTATGCGTCGAGATGACAGGGCCCCCGATGCGGCTCTTTCGCTAGGCGTTAACTGTCCTCTACCCTTCATCGAGGCTGGGGTCCCGGTCACAAGCTTCACAGATCTAGACTCGGCGAGGCAGCGATCAGTGAATCCACGGTCAGCAATGACCTCCGCTCCCGGCCCGAGGCCCTCCAACAAGCCGCTTTCCTGCACTATCGCATTATCGCTGGTGCTTCCACCATATGTCTGGGAAACGTGAGTTACGATACCCGAGGGTGTTATTGTCACTAGTGTCTTCATAGTGTTTGTAGATTTGTACGTACTATACGTGGCGTGCTGCGCGATCACGTTTCCAGGCTTCACAGTTGCTACCTCTGTACAGTCTATAATCACCTTTGTGATCCCTGAATCCTCGCTACGGCCCGCCCCGAACCTACAACCTAGTCCTATGTCCAGAAACTCGCGATACATAAAGTTCACCCATGTGATGACTATGTTGGATATTAGCGAGATTGAGACGTCATACATCATGCTCAGTTCAAAAAGTTCTTTGTTTCTCTTTAACTTTACCAGTGTAATGAAGAAACAGTCTAGAGGAGGGATCACCGTGCAAGCAGAGCCATCTGGGTAATATTGAAGCCTATGCGCTGCCGGACCCAGACAGTCAAATACGATCCGAAAGTGCTCGAAGCTATCAAACCCGGTATAGAACTTGATGGCCTTGTCATTGTTACTGAAACGGTCTACTGAGAAGTTCACGCTACCTTGCTCTGCTTGCACGGATTTATCAGCACGCTCAGGCAACTTCCTCAACTGTATCAAAGTTGCCTAATGCCTATCCTATCAAGAGTTGCATCAGGCTCTTCAGCAACATCTTCTTGTTTAGATGTGTGCTGTCTTTGCATGCTCCTGGCTCTCCTCTGCACTTCTACCTTATTCTTTGCAGAAGTCCATGGGAAAATGCTTGGGACAGCATCTTTTTTCAGCTGCTTCCTGACTGAAAGCAAAACAGGAGGAATTGTGGTTAGATTATGCATCAAAATGAACACAATAACAAAGGTAGAATGTTAATAGGTATGAACTGCCTGGCAAAGAATTGCTATTGATTGACCTTGACATGATATTTTATATTGAATTGTGTTGCATTCCTTCACAATCTTTGAAGTTACTGATTATGGATGTCTTTGTTCGCGAATGAATTTTGTCCTGATTTGCATTTTTAAAAGAAAGAATTGGTACCTACTGAGGTAAGGCTAGTGTAGGATTGCTTATGCTGGATCACATGTTCAGTTACATGTCTTCACATAATAAGCCAAACATTATAAAAAGTGGTAACTGAAAATACGGATTCATCAACATGAAAAAGCAAACATGGGTACCTATGGCAAATGTTAAAAGTCGGTGCCAGATTTAAAATCACATGCTTAGATGATAAATTTTGTTGTTTATTTACTCACCAATTCCTGCCATCTTGGATGTCCAGGATGGCTCCATATAATCATTAGGTGTGAAGTGTTTTCGACAAACTACAGATGATACTGAAGGCTTCCACACAGATCATCGTTTTGAACCTTCTCTCCTGATCTGCACCAACCAGGTCTTGCGGAGCTGTGGTGGGTAAAACAGTCATGTTAAATGTGGTAATGTCTATATGTGAGATCTGAAGAAATAGCTTCATATTACTTGTGCAAGCAAACATGATAATACATTTCCAGGTCAGGGTATCAAGACCAATTTATAAGAATGTGCAAGTTGCATGTGAAAACTGACATTACGGCCTCAGTGAGACATCTTTAAGCCAAAAGGCTGTGGAAAATTCAAAAGGAGTTTCAGCAATGGCATACTTAAATGGCAGGCAACCGACATGATATACTACACATGATCAATCCATGATAGGTATGCCCTTCAGGCTATATCAGCAGCAAACATATGCCAATTTCTTGTACACATAGCCCTTGGTGGAGAATGGTTGCAAAAGTTGGTGTAGCGAGGAACATCTCGGTGTGGCCTAGCATCTATGTTGTGGTCTGGGTCATGCCACACCTGTCATACCACATTATCCACCCATGTACATATAAATTTAATGAGCTAAAATCTCTGACAAAATTTCAAGTCCACCTTGCCATTTGGACATAGAAACATTGAAAATGTTATATGACGTGTGGTAACCGGGCTATTCACTTGGCTCACCTTCTCTTCACGTGGTATTTTGTGCCCTCCAACAGTGCTACTGCAACTGCATCCAGGAACACAGCAGCCAACCATGTTTGCAAGCTTCTTTATTTTATCCAAGGCCTTCTAACGCTTTTATCTAACGCTTCTGATCGTCTTTTCAACAAGTTAAATCACTATCTGATAAACCCGACTCCAAACCAAGATTCCAAACTCTACTCAGATTCAAGTTCGAAAGACATACGCATTATATTCGCAATTTCTTCCGAGCGTCAGTCAGTCATAATTTCCATGAAACTGATTCGTTTACAATGGCAACTGCGAGCAGCTCCAGTACAAAAAAGCAAAAATGAACACGATATGACTGCGCCGCATTTGGAACATCTGCGCAAAAAAACTTTGAGGCTTTGACTAGCAGCGACATCTATATTAGCTTCTCGTGGAACGCCCCATTGCGCGAGCTGACGTAATGTGATGACGTCATACTGCTGACGTAAGGGGCAATTCTGGCGCACGATTGCCGCAATATTGTTTTACGTCATCAGCTAAATGTTCGAAGTTAATGTCCAAATTTTTCCTAAACCGAACTTCTTTTAAATACATCATATTGAAAAAATATGTATCAAAAATATATATACTATCATGACTGCGTAAACTCTTACTTTTAGGCTCATACGTCACTTAATGCCGCCGCCAAGGTCGCGGCAATCGTGCGCCGGAACTACCCATTACGACAACAGTATGGCGTCACGACATGACGTCAGCTCGCGAAACGTGATAGCAGCTTGCTGCTATCACCGGTGAAACAGGGCCCTGCTAGAAACATCGCAAGCTTCGTCCGTTACTTCAATATGTTTGAATGCTATTAACCGTCCGTGAGGCAAATCCATCCTAAATTTATTATCGACCAAGGAAAAAAGCATTCGACAGCATGAGACGACAAAGTGAAATCAGCTTCTGCCAGATCCCAAGATATGCAGCGCAAATCACAAGATCCCAATGTTAAAGGGACCCTCCCACCTTAACATTAGTTTTGAGTTGAGATAGCCAAGTTTGCGGCCAGGCTCAGAAACCACCATTTATCCTGGTCGCAACCCCCGCAGCTTTATGGTGTTCAAGAAATTTCTTCCCTTTACTTGCAGGGTGGGACCAGCTTGGTCCCTATCTCTTAACCATTACGGGAATCTGATGACGTCATCAGGCTTTCGAACGTCCGTTAAATGTTTGACTAAAACGTTTTGTAGCACGCGGTGGTATATGCTGCTTTGCGCGCAACAAATGCCGCACTTTCAAATAAAGTCGCTAGGAATAGCGGAGATCCCAAAAAGTAAACAAAAGTAAAAGTCTAATATCTTGAAAACCGGTGAATATTTTTCGATGAAATTTGGTAGATATTCGTTTTTGCTCTTTCTGAACCGAGCGACATCACTTTCATGCAAATTCATTAACTTTTTTGAAGGTGGGAGGGTCCCTTTAATGTTCAAATCCCAAGATCTTGGGACAAATCCCAAGGAATGGCATCGCTGATTACAAAGCAAGAACCAAAAGACAACCAAAAAGGCAGAAACTATAAAAAAAGAACAGCCTGCGCAGCCTATGAGCTATATGAATATTACGAATATGACGCACCAAAACATCAATGATATACATAAAATTATATATGACGCCATTGGACTTAGACGTTTACATTACAATTATCGCCAAAACACATGAGTTTGTAACCGTAGCCGTTTCAATAGGTAATTCGTTTTATTTTTGCCAAAGGTTGAAGAAGATTTTTTTGTGAAAAAAATACCTTATACTGTGCTTTATCTATAACAAAGGATTACAAACTCTTCATTTCAATGACGTCATCATCAAAAGCTTTTTGGAACTTGGAACCAAAATCAGCTGTTCATCCCAGCCTATTGAGCCAAAGCATTATAGAGTTCAGTGAGCCAAAGTTTTATGTATATGTGTGGTCGTCGTCATCTCTCTTTCAAAAGTCTAGTAGGGTCCCTCGGGCGATCAGCTTAGTTTTTGTGAGGTGTCTTATATTGCTTTGTGTACCTATGACCCCGATTTAAAAGGATTCTAAAACTCAATTCCTTTATTTCAAATGTGTTGGTGGATGGAATGGGTTTGTTTTTAATTGTTATTGTTGAATTCTTTGGTGAATATTCTGAATCTTTTATAGTCAAGTTCAACTTTCAAATGCTAGCTGCCCTCAGATTGTTTTCAATATTATTATATCATTTTTATGCTGCTAATAATAAAATTTGAAGATATTCCTGTTTATAGACATGTGATCATGTTGTGACCTGGAACTTTATGTGCTGTTCACTGTCCAGCAGGAGTGATAGTTTGCGACGCGTCCTCCAAGTAAAGAGGCAATATCAACCGTCCATCATGGGCTATGAAACAGCAAGATTTACTTCAGCTAACATAGACAAAGATCTCATGTGCCCAATCTGCATGTGTGTGCTGGAAAAGCCTGTGGAGGTGAGTGGCACTGACATTTTTATTATTGTATTATTCAATCCTGTTACATCTTACTACGTGTTTGGCCTACTCCAAAGTGAGATCAGAAGGGTATAGCAACACTGTTAGTGACTAACTAATGAGTAATGACCACACTACATTTTCACAGACACCATGTGAGCACAGTTTCTGCGAGGCATGCATCCTGCAGTGGCTGCAGACGAGACGCCGTTGTCCGCTAGACAACACAGTGGTGGGCACGAATCAGCTGTGTGAGCCCAGCAGACTGCTCACCAATCAGCTGGGCAGGTGAGGCTTTATTGAAGACAGCACTGATGACTCATCAGTCATCAGCATGGTGTACTGCATAGTCATAGTATGCCTATTCCCTATCAATTTTATGAAAACTTGTCCATATGCTCATAAGATTTGACACAATGAAATAGACATCACCTTTGCCCTAGTATGTAGATGAATTTTATTTATGCAAGTTAGAAGTCACTTTATGTTGAGTGGAATTTAGGTTTGCATTGGCTTGTGAATTGAATTGACAACACATGTTTCCACAATAACGAGTGTTTCCTGACGGTCCAGACTGGAGATCGCGTGCGATTTTCGCGCCGAGGGCTGCACGGAGAGGGTGCCTCTGGAGTATCTGGCCGCGCACCGTCTGAAGTGTCCGCACAACCCTCGGCCGGGCCAGCAGCCGCGGACGGCCGACGCCCGCGCCGCCGTCCAGCCCAGACAGGGTACGTGTACAGTGTACACGTCATCGTAACAGGGAAATGAGCGAATTGTGGTGGTGAAACAGATACCTACCTACGTACCTAAAAATATTTGACGAGTGATCTTGACCATCTGTAATCATAGTTGTGCACAGGTCTATGGTGTGATATATTTTTTGACTTTCATAACCCAACGTACTTAGTTTCACTCGACTTGTCGATTTGTCTGCGATAACCGTATTTACACATTCCATCCACCCTCATCAGTGCTTGGATCCAACTCCAGCCATTCCCTCTCCTCGCCTTTAGCCCTATAACTCAGCCCTGTCACCGGGCTAGTCTCTCGCTCGTCACCAGTCGAGGTCTTCTGCTCACCACCCGCCACCCCCTCCCCCAGGCCGGCCTGCGTACCACGACCAGTACGAGGACGACGACGTGCCCTCCGGCCTGGAGGCTGGACTGGCCGTCGGAGCCGTGGCCATGGTCGGAGCCGCCATCGGAGCCGTCGTCGGCGGCATTATCGGCTACAAGCGCGGCAGGAACCGAACGCACGACTGATGGACGAGTCGACCGACGGCAACTCTACCAGATGTGCTGCACATCAGAGGATGGTCTCAACTGATTTAATGCGATTGATGATTGTTACATTGATGATGGCACGCACGTCTTCGAACTTGCTTAATGATCACGATGGTAGAATTGATCGATTTCGGCCGGCGCGCCGAGGCGCGTTGCTGACGTTAGTGTCTTAGGGTATATTTATTATGGGTAGGTACTTAAACTGAACAGCCAAACGCTCAGCAGCTGCATTGAAGTTTGTTGGATCCGATGCGGCTGCAAGCTTTATCTCTGTCACGCATTCGGCAGACTATTGAGTTGACTCCCCAGTGAGTGAAGCGTGGTGGGGTCGTAGCTGGATTTGTACAAGCAACGTGGCCCGTGATACTGTTGCTAGCTTATCGCTTATTCATTTTGTAGTTCATGGAATATAGATCAAGGAGTTTATTTTGTAGTGCTGAGTGTGTACGCTAGCTAGCTGAACAAACATTTCAGAGCTTGTCTTTCCTTTGCGGGGTTTCTTTAGTGTTTAAGTAATGTCCCCTAGCATATAATTCAATGATTGATGCGTTGCTTTGCTTGCAGTTATATACAGTGTGAATCGTGGCATACTATTATCTATCGAAATACCTATATAATGTTACATTGCTTGGTTAATAAGGCATTCACGCTAACGCGGCGATTCCTCCGGGATCCATTGCTTTCTTGTGCACCAGAAACCACATTTTGCTGGTACGACATTGCGACTGTGTCCGAGCTTTCTATGATTACCTCTTGCGTGAAGGCGACTATATTGTGATCATAATAGCATGTAGGTAGGCAGACCCTGCATAATACCTAATCCCAACTGCGACATTTCCTTCATTCATGGGCTGCAGCGTAATCTTGGGCTGCAGGGCCCTGCAGACGGCCGGTAATATCACACTGGTGTCATTGTCCCCGCCTTGGTACGCGCCGGTGTTATCGCGGGAGCCCCCTCCCCCGCCGGGGCTTCCCCTTCGGCTGCCCGAGCAGTCAGCTGACAGGTGACGTCATCGATACGTCACTCCGCGCCCGGAGCGGAGGCGTCGAGCGAAGTGTTCGGTCGCGGTTCAGTGCCTGCATTATGGATGATGGGTGGTCGCGTGGCTCAAGCCACTACAGTGCTGCTCAGTGTCGTGGTATCGTTACCAAGTGTATGTGATATTTGAGACTTAAATAAATGGATATCGCTCTTTTTCTTTTGCTTTCTACTATGTTACCTCGTCCTCCAAAACAAAGATGTCAAAAATCAGCGCACTGTATTTAAAACAGACGCGATCGTGAGGTGCCCAATTTGAACTGGCTCAAAACAAATCGTCGCGCCGATGAACAAACCGATGAACACGGGCACGCCTCGCTCAGCAGTTCTCACACGCGTCCAAACCCCGCCGTCTGACCATCCCCTGTACAAAGTCCTCCACTTGGAACGTACACACAGTAACACACACCACTGGACCTTGGTTTGGAACGCCGAATCTGAGGATTTGTAGCGCAGCCGCAAACTGCAGCGATATGCGATGCGAAGTCCGCCACTAGGCCGAATGACGATGCGTGCTCGACTGATTTCCAGGAAGTCCAAGTCGATAAACCTACACTTATACGTATGTGTACAATGGCAATGGCTTTTGACATAGGTATAACGAGACAAACCGTTTCACTCATTCACCCACATTCGACCAAAATTCGTCCATGCCTCCACGTCCACACGTAACCTAACACACAGATCAGCCGCCGTAAGCCCCTGTGGAAACTGCACCGCACACTCGCGTCATCTATACACAGAGCATGACCCTACTGCCGCCCGGAATACCCCACAGTCTCGGGTCAACTTGGGAGGCCACGGTCTCAACTCTAAGCCACGTGTTTACACCGGAGCCCCATGCATTCATTGGCGTCTCGAGTCCACGGGCTTCTAAATTATTGTCACTGTGCTGCAGGGGATGCAGTGGCGGACCACCAGCAGCAGTGGTGAGTGAGTTCGCCCCGCACAGGCAGCACAGTCGTGTCGCGACGGTGGACGATTCATCCCGCAGAGGCGGAACAGCTGCCAAGTGGCGACATAGGCAGCAGCTGTGCCCGAGTTTGTCCCGCAGAGGCAGTTCGCTCGTCGTGTCGTGACAGACGCGGTAGCGGTGGGCGAATTTGTGGCAGCGCAGGCAGCTAGCGGGAGTGGTTCGGCAGTACAACGCGGCGAGACATCGGCTGCGGGCAGAAATCACAGCTCAGTCAGACGCTGTACCACGGCCGAACGAACATCCAGTCAGCTTACATAAGGCTAAAATCCCCTGTTAAGCTCCCACCATACTTAACATTACGTAATACGTGTAGTGTGCAATCTTACCTGTCCAGGGCTGGATAGCGGCGCGCCGACGAGAGGGACCTCTCGAAGCACTTTCCTGGTCACCGGATCCAGCTGGGGATACACAGAGGGGGAGGGTGTCAGAGGGGTCACTGGGTCCACCAGGGGGTAAGAGGGGGACCTCCCTGGTCACCGGATCCAGCTGGGGATACACAGACTGGGTCAGATAGGGGTCACGGAGTACCTGGCTAGTCACCGGTAACAGCTGAGGACAGTGGAAACGGCAGAGATATGTTGAGATGACGGGCGGGCGCAGCATTACGCGAGAAATATCAACATAACACCAGAAATAGTAGACAGGGGGCCAGAGGGGCCGGTACGGTAAAAACCAGTTGATGAGAAGGATCAGCGGCCGTGACACCGATAGCCCGCGCAACGAGGATAACGAGCCTATCGGAGATTGTATCAATATCATTACACTGCTTGAGAAACAAGCAGTAATTGGCGTTAGTGTTAAAATGAACAAACGGACGGCATGAGCCACACATCGCGTTTCCGAACATAAACTCCTCCTTCATTAGACTAAAACTCACCTCAAATTTGCGCACCGGGTTGCCGGCGGCGTCCTTCTGAATGCGGTAGACGCGCTTCCGCGTCGAAACTCCGGCCGGCGGGTCATGGTCGGGCACGGTATGCACCACGGGAGCGGCGCGCGGCGCGGCGTGAGGGGCGGCGCGGGGAGCGGCATGTGGCGCGGCGTGTTGAGCGGCACGCGGCGCGGCGTGCTGAGCGGCGTGTTGAGCGGCGTGAGGGGCGGCGCGCGGGGCGACACGTGGAGGTCCCGGGGCGACACGCGGAGGTCCCGGGGCCGGGGCGGGCGCGGACGGCGGTCCGGCCAGCCGCACCGCCTGGCCGCGGCCCGGCGGCGGCTCGAACATCACCTCCCGTGGACGGGCCGGCTCCGGAGACACTGAAAGACGACGAGAAGTCAGCGATAGCGGTCAGAAAGGATACTTCATAGAATGCACAGCACAGAGAAGATTCCTAAGCCGTATCATTTTTTTTTTCCGGAACTTATGTCTTATCAAAACGTTGAGCAATGCAGTTTGCAAACGTTTAGCGGCAACGATAAAACCCAACTATATCATAAAATCCAGTCCCACTGAAGTATTCTCGACAACTAACGCCCTACCAGCCCTCGCTCTCCCCTCACCTCCACTCAACCCTCCGCTCCACTCACCCAGTCCGGCCTCGGCCTCCGCCTGCCGCAGCTGCCGGCGCAGCTCCTTCACTTTGAGCGCCTTCTCCTTGCGCGCGCGCCACTCTGCCTCGCGCACCTCGTACTCTCGGCGGTATTGTCTCATCTCCTCCGTCTCCGTCTCCTGGTGGTAGGGTGGCGGCGGCGGCGGCGGCGGCTCGGACGCGGCCGAGGGAGCCGCGCCGTGTCGGCTGTCTGCAGGAGACCGATCGCGAGTCTGGCCGACCGGGCAGAGGGGCGTCAGTAAGAGCACATATTCCACAAGACAGGACTAGACAAGACGATAACAGGAAGACAAGAGAGATCAGACTGAGGTGCAGAGTGTGCATTATACATAGACACCGTACGAGAATTCATGAAACTGAGAACACAATATGGGTTTTAACATGAAAAAGTACGTTACAGATATTACAGAATGATACTGAACGACCATCACATCCATGCACTTTGTGCAAAATCAATGAGCGTTTAAGGTTCTCAAATCTAACGGCGCGCACGCAACACAGCTGTGAAATTATGTCATATAATTTCACAGCTATGCCACCAAGAGCAAGGCGACGTAACGCATAATACGTTCACAGTCATTGAAACACGGCACGCCGCGTTATATCCATGCGACAGCCACAGCCCCCATCCAGCAGACACGGCTTCTCCGGCGCTGGCCCACGGCCGCCGCTGCACGAGCGTCACCTGTCGCGACTGGCGACTCTCGTAGTCCCTCTGGTAGTCGCGCTCGTAGTCCCGCTCATAGCCGCGGTCACGGCTCGACGTGCGGTGATGCTGGGAGCGCAGCGGCGACCGCTCGCGCGAGCTGTGGTGGGTGGAGGTGTGCTCAGTGGTCTCCCTCCTGCTGCCGCCGCCGTACAGACTGCGGTGGTTGCTCTGAATGAACTCCTGCGTGAACTTATCGACTGCGTTTGTGGGAGGAGCTGAGGAAGTGGCGGGCGTCTTGGCCGCAGCGGGCGCCGGGGCGGCAGCGGCGGGGGTCGAGGCTGTGGGGGCGGCTGGCGTCGAGAAGCCCGGCGGCGGGACGGCCGTGTTCACCAGGACCGGTACCACGACAGGGGCCGGCGCCGCTGCCGACGCGGCCAGACCCGCCGGCAAGTGGCCCAGACCGGCCGCCACCGCCGGCGGAGCGCTGACGGCCGGGTAGACGGCCGGCTGCAGCGGCACACTCTGCCCGCCCGACAGGTAGGCGGCCACGCCGGCCGGTGGCAGCGCGTGGGTGACCGCCTGGCCGCCGGCCGCGCCCGGCGCCGTCTGAATGGTCCGGTAGATTTTGGTGTCGCGGCCCGGCTCCTCAAATGGCGGCGCAGACTCCCAGACGGGCGGCCGCGCTTGGTCTGCGGCAGCTGGCGGAGGCAGGGGACAAACAACAAGACGGTTAGTCGCTATAGACAGCCCAAAAAATATATATGCACTACTAGTCTTTGAATATTTTCTGTCGTCAAATGATTCCGAAATCTAAGAACCGCAGACACTCAAGAACTTCTTTATGCATCTCGTATGTCTTGTACCAATTCAACGCCAAAACAACGTTATCAATACAGACGGACTAATGTCCACGGACGCGTCGCTCACCTGCCGCCACGGGCACCGTGCCCCGGAAGTTGCGGTTCACGTATATAGTGCGCGACGGCTGCTGCTGCTGTTGCTGCGGCGGCTGTTGTTGCTGCTGCTGCGGCTGCTGCGGCTGGGGTTCGGGACGGTCCGGAGCGTTACGGGACCCGTCCCACGAGCTGCGTACGGGGGAGCGGCGACCCCCGAGCCCGTCCCGCGAGTCGCGCAGCGTATCTCGGAGGTCTCTGCCTCCTCGGCAGCCTGCGGAGCCCGACCAGCCCTGGCGGTCGCCGCCGCTGTTACCGCGAGACAGACTCGGATCCGGCCACAGGTCCGGCCTGTTATCCTGCGGCTGCTGCTGGTGGTTAGGACCGGACCAAGACGGCCCACCAGGACCGTTCGGACCACGCGGTCTATCGGAACCGCCGGGGGCGCCGTAGCCTCTCGGTCCATCTGAACCACCGGGACCGCCATAAGCACGCGGTCCGTCGGGACCAGCCGGCACGCCGATCCTGTCCCTGACGTGCGGCCGGGCCGGCGACGGCGGCGACCACTGCAGCTCCTGTCCGGGCTGGCCGCGGCCCGCCGGCGGGCGCTCGGGGCTCTCCCAGAGAGGTCGCTGCGGCTCCCAGTCGCGCGGCGGGCCGCCGTTGGCAGCCGGCTCCTGCCAGCGCTGCGGCGCCGGCGGACGGAACGCGTCTGGCGGCGGCGGGCCGCCGGGGCCGTCCCCCCAGCGCGGCCCCGGGTCCGGCAGCAGGCCCGAGCGGCCCGGCGGCGGCCGACACGGCTGGCGCGGCCCGCCCGGCGCACCCCAGCCCTCGCCGGGCCGCGGGGGGCCGGGTCGCCCGTCCGGAGCCCAGTGACTGCTCGGGTGCGGCAGCAGCGGGCCCGACATGCGCGGAGGCATGGGCCCTCCCCAGCCGGGCCCGCAGGGTCCGCCGGGTCCGCCGGGCCCACCCCGCCCGCCCGGTCCCAGCAGGCCGGGCTGACCGCCGCGGAACGGCGCCTGTCCCCGACCGCCGCGGAAACCGCCTCGACCACGCGAGCCGTCACCATCGCGCCGGCCGTCTCCGCGACCACGCTGGTTGTTCCGGCCGCGCCCCCTACCACCGCTCGAGTTACGTTTTCCACGAGCACCGCGGCCGCGGCCGGCCGAGCCCGCAGACTCGCGTCGCTGCGACGAATCTGTGCGAAAATGGACAATGTGACGTCAGAGCCCGACAACCAATCAGAAAAGAAGGCCCGTGGGTGAACAGAGCTTATAGAAGAGGACCGGGTGCTGAAGTGAATGTGGATTTACGTAATTCTGGAGGATTTGGCGCCGATATATTTGTCTATTGGAAGCGCCTATTAATATGGTCATTTTGCGCCCACTTTAGTGGCTTCAGTGCCGGTGTTGGGATTTGTGTTATCTGGCACAACCTAGAAATAATCATCTGTGGCCAAACGACGCTTAAACTTATTCTTTGATAAGGAGTCACACTACAAAAACAGTGATCATACTGCATTGTGCTTCATCAGTATGTATATGTATCAGTATGTGAATGAAATCACAAAATTGAACCTCCGATTCCTTGATACTCTCGAGAGATACGTCATCTTTACGATCAGTGGTGCAAGGAGCTTCAATGGAAATACCAAAAATGAGCTGCACTTATCCACAAGTGTCAGATAAGTGCGTCTTTCGCTCATTGCATCTACACTGTACAGTATACCCTCAGAGCAGAATTTCCTAGTGAGATTGATTGAGTGTTACGGCTTTTACTTCGCGTGCTCTGAAGGGCAGTGGCGTCCCAAAACGCAAGTGTAGAGGAAGGCAGGAGCACAGTCACGTCAGTTCCTTGCGTATTTAGTGAGCTAAGGATGTCACTACCAAATGGTATGCACGATAGAAAAATGGTGGATGGCGATTGGCGACACAATATCAACAGAGAGTGGTGAACAACATGTGTGAGAAATGGTTAATGTACACAAACTCAGCAAATAATTATGAATAATTCAGGCTCAAAACACCTGATCAGCATAGTGCTTATAACTTGAAACTTACGCCATCTTTTGTGATTAGCACAAATTACCTATCAAATATAGGTAAAGCAGACGAATTAACACATTGAATAGTCATGCACTCGACTATAAATATGGCAATGCGTGGGCATATAAATACAATTGCCAGCATGAATACCAAACAGCACATCTGCAAAACTATAAGGACATGTGGTCAGAAGACAAAGCGTAAGAGCGCCAGATTAGGTCCCGAATGAGAGGATCCTGCCCAACAGCCCTCCCTGGACGCGTCATTGCGCGCGACCTTCACTGTGTCGGAGCGATCAAGGTATGTAAAAACACACCGATAGGCCACGATTTGCAGACCACTAGCAATGGCGTTACAAGTTCGTGCCACTATGTTGGAAAATACCCACGTTGCACGTTTCGCGGGCAGCACCTCCCTACTATACATATAGTATTGGTGATAATCAATATCCCTCGTGGCGATAGCCTTGGTAATATGCCGTTTGTGAGACTGTTGAGCGCCGTAAGAGTTGATATCTGCCAAGCTGAGTTCGTAGGTACCAAGTTGTTGTTTATTGGGGCTTTGGGGCGCGCCGACTACTAAGGTCATTTTGCGCCCATAACGTCTAACTACATCGTAAAACAAGTGTGACAAAAAAGAGATCCAACTACATACAGGGGCGAAAGCCTAAGACTAGAAAAAAGGATAAGGTGGGATAGAACAACGCAAACGTGTTGTACTATACAACTGACTAGACGTAAAGACTACAGAGGACTAGATTGGCTGGAGTCAGGTCGAGCAAATCGCTTGGAAGGTCGAGCTTGGAATCAAACGGATAAAAGAAAAGATGTTGCCGGATAAAACCCAGGGTGAGTCGTCACCCAGTAGGTGGCGGATAGTGGTACCCGGAGCCGAAGTAGCGTGTCCGGTTGGGTTCGGGATATGGACAAGATAAGAGAATGTGAGCGACAATAAGAGGCACGGCACACTGACTGCATGTGGACTGTTCATCTCCAAGGAGGAGATGACCATGCGTCGCATACGTATGGCCTATGCGTAATCTGCAGAGGACCTCTTCCTGGTGTCTGTTGCTTTGAAAGGAAAACTGCCAGGGCTCCAAGGTAGAAACCGCTGCGATGTGGTCTGGGTGCCACCGAGCACTGCGAGCGGCAGAGGGCGGCGCTAAAGCGGCTACGCCAGCTGATGGCGACGGCCAGGTTCGGCAGCAGCAGCAGCAGCGGACTCCTGCCCTGCCAGAAGAGGCTTATCGTCTCCCTGCGGTCGACGCTGGCGCTGTTTGAGGAGTTACGTCAGGTGGCGGGTTTCTCGTTCCTGCTGACGGCGCGCCTAAACCAGGATGCTCTGGAATCCTTCTTTAGCACCGTTCGGGCGCATTTCGGGAGCAACCTAAGCCCGTCACCTGTCGAATTCCTGCAGCGGATCCGGCTACTCCTGATCTGCGCACAACCCGCCGCTGCACGCGATACAGCCGTCCAGCCAGAGTGCGCCGCTCCAGCGACCTTCCTGCGGGCCACCAGCCAGCTACAACCCGCTGAGGAAGCCGACAGCATTAGTTCTGCACTGGCCGCTCGCGTCTGCGAGCCGACAGGAGGCGAGGAGGCAGAGCCAGGGGAGGAGACGGAGGAGCTGGAGTCGGAGCTAGTCTCTGCCGAGGATATCCCCGTGGAGGTGATGCAGGAGTGTCAGCTGGCCCCCGACGGCGAGCCAACGGAGGATCCGACTGTCCAGACTGAGAGCTACGGCGTCGCATATGCAGCGGGTTTCCTGGCCGCCAAGTGTGCGCGCAGCGACCCGTCCTTCGGTGTGCGCACCACTAACGCCGATGAAGAAGATGTTCCCAGCGACGCACGCTAGGTCACTCCTGCGAGTCGTGGCGGCCTGACTGTGCCCTCCCGTCAGAGGCTCGGCGTCTCTCGGGAGATGGACGCGACGTTCTGCGCGCTGCACGAGGGCAAGGGCCGGCCGCGTCGTAATGAAGACCAGAAGATGGACAACCTGTCGCAGTGATAGCCTTGGTAATATGTCGTTCGCAAGAGTGTTCGACGCCGTAAGAGTTTATATCTGCCAAGCTGAGTTCGTACCAAGCGTGTTGGTTCTGCGCAGCTTCTCTGTTTTGGGGAAGCTGGGCTCGTGGTAAATTCACATTATCATTTATACAATTGAATCACAGTGAGAAGCTATGGTGCCAGCGACTCGGTAGCTCTTCACAGCCAGTGAAACCGTGCAACTCACTTGCAAGCCACTCGGTGACCCAACGTGGTCACAGCAAGCAAGTGATGCCAGCGAGTAAACGACAGAGTCCACAGCGAGTGAAACTGTGCGTGTGCAACGCATTAGCGGGTAGAAATGGTAAGACTGAAGAAAAACGCCGAATAGCAGTCCCTAGTCCGTGCGCGTATTGGATCTGGTGGGTTTTGGTCGCTACTCTACGGGCGCCAATCGCAGAGGGCAACGCCATGGCCCGACGTGAGGCCAGTGAGCAGCCAGGCCGGGACAATATTGAGTGGTAAAGGGCCGGAACATGATCTGTCGCGTGAGGACGAACGCTCGTAAACAGGCACTTTCATGTTGCGAGAACACAAGCAGGGTCAGCAACATTGTGTCTGGGCAAGAACGATAAACGCTTCCCTGGATGAATGGTGTAATAGTGTTGTCATTGAACGGTGACATTTCTACAATGGTGGCCCTGGTGGCGCAGTTGTTAAGGCGTCAGCCCGCGGTGCGGGAGGTTCCGGGTTCGATTGTAGGGATCATCTAATGCAATTTGTCATTTCATGTTGTCATTTTCATTTTTATTGCCACTGCTTTATTAATCAATCTGTTATCTGTTGTCAATTTTGCGTCAAGTTTGTTTGTTATTTGTAAACCGGCTTGCCGCTGGAATCAGCCTTCCTAGTAACCGCTGTGCCATACGCTATAGAACCTGTCGTGCAAAGGTCACGGCGGCACCCCTGAGGCGGCCGCTGCCCGTACGTTTAGGAACCCATTGTCGTGATGTCATGACTGTGAACAAAGGTCGCGGTAGGGGCTCTCCCGGCAGCCGGACGGTGACGCATACGTTAAGCTTGTTTCTCGCCGCGCCTGCGGGCATATTGGTAGTACTAGGGACGGCCAGCATATGACCGCGGTTTTCGGCGACATTGTCAATTCGTTTTCGACTCTGCTGTTCGCTGCAAGACAAATACACATAGAAAACGGCTCGGGCATTTGGAGAAGAGCGGCTACTCTGAGGCGAGGGAAGAATACGGAGATTCACACGAAAGACCTGACTAGGTCGCATCGGCCACAGCTAACTGAGGCTCTGTCGGCCGTCGTACGGCTCACGGCTCACGGGATAGATTGACACAGACCGTCCGTTCTACACAGCGCCCTACGACACGATCCCCGGTGCCGCCCGTTCCGCGGGCGTCGTCCCCAGCTGTGTCACCAGGAGTGAGGTGGGCTCCCACATTAGCCGTAGCCCAGGGGGAGGGGTATGTAGGTTGGAGGAGCAGGAGCCTTCCTGTAAATGGGTATACCGGCCCGTTGGAAGGATGACGAAAAATACACCACGGCAAAGCATGCTACAACACTCCGTGGTAGACAGTTTGGTGGCAATCTCAGAGTCAGCAGCTAACACGGACATCATATGAAGCAAGTGAGCGCACGTTGACCTCCAGCTACAGCCATCAGCGCTGCATAATGTCTGACGCAGTGAGACTCTGGAACTTGGAAGAGCTAGGAAGCCTCACAGGCTCCATGCTTCATTTAAATCAGTCTGGTAAGTGCAAGGGCCTCTGCAAGCGCCTGACTTGTGTTATACGGAAAATCATCCCGTAATTGTTATGTCAGAAATAGGTGGAGGGCATGCTGATATGACTGCTCTAAATCATCATCATGATAACTTAGAAAAGCCCCTCATTGACACATGGATAGAAAATCACACCAGTGTGTCTGATGAAAAAGCGCACAACATACTCGTAGAGGCCCAAACCAGAGGGGCAGCCAAAATCAGCGCTCTGGAAAGTAGAACATCAGCTACGTTTAACTGCCTCCCATGCATATCGTGCATGCCATGTATTGAAAAACAAGAAGGCATGTTCTGAAAGCATGTTCAGCGAAGGAAGTCTGAACCACATACCAGCTGTCCAGTGGGGCCAGGCAAATGAAGATG